AGCAAGGACAAAGCCTCAATCGGCCAGGAGGCCAGATACTGAAAGAATGACAGAAGCCTAATATTTATTTACAAATTAGTGAAGATCAGGACAAAGGCGGAGCGGCATGTGGCGAGGGGAGGGGAGGGGAGGGTCTCAGAGGCTTGTGCAGCAGTGACAGGCTTTTGTGTGTGCACCAGACACCAGATGGGAGTCAATTACAGACGTGACAAAGCTATCATCTGGCACAGACACTTTGGCACAGCGTCTGCCGCAGTCCAGCATTGGGCGGGAAAATGAGAGATAATAATAATTATCCTTGCATTTGATATAGCGTCTTAGTGGTGTCCTCAAGATGTCTCAAAGCTCTTCACAGAATATCCTGTAAAATGAATTGACTGTAGATCCCTGGTTGATGTTTGAAAAGTATATATTAAAACAAATAACACGTTCAGCCCTTGTGTTCAACACTGGATAAGGTCAGTGGTTTTCACCTGAAGCCAGATTGCGGAGGAGAAAATGTTATTAATCCACTAATAATTTGAGATTCTCCTGAATTAGTTTTGATTCCCAGCCCAGACAGTGTTTGTTTGTTTGCGGATGATCTCATTGCTGAGCCGCTATTTGTGGTTTGTTGCTATGTAAACACCACTGTTTGAAAACCAGGTCAATTCTGCCGAGGGCATTGGTGTGGGTTGGGATTCTTGGCAGAATCCAGCTTTGGTTCTGAGGTCATTTGAGGAGGCTGTGTATATCTGGATCAAGATTACCCACACTCACACACACTCTCACACCCACACTCTCATACACACACACGCACACACATACAGGCAGTTGGTTTCTTGGTCAGTCTGAGAAAGGCAGAGCTTCAAAGTCAAGTGAGGTTTTGCGTGAAAAAGTAAAAGTGATCGTTTTGCTCCACAGTTTCACCGTTCAGTATCCTGCAACAGGGACAAGCTGGCAAGCAAAGGTGCTCTCTGCTAAACCTGTGATTGGAATGCTGCAGCTACCCAACCCCGCATTTATACCATAATAAATAAATAAAATAATAATCCTCACATTTGATATAGCGTCCACCATTCAAGTTAGGAGGATGTCTCAAAGGGCGTGAATCCACAACCTTTTGACTTAGTAATAATAATAATAATCATCCTTGCATTTGATATAGTGCCTTATCACATCTTCAAGATGTCTCAAAGTGCTTCACAGAACATACTGTAAAGGGAATTGTGCGTATAGTTTGTGGGCGAAACTCGGCAGCCAATTGCATACAACAGTGTCCCACAAACAGTTGTGGATTGAGTGACCGAATTATTATTTTTTTAAGAAATTATTGCCTAAGTATTATTAGTAGCAAGACCATTGCCAACTCAGATTAGTTGGTAGCACTCTCGCCTCTGAGCCAGAGGTTGTGGGTTCAAGACCCCGGTTGGGACTTTGAGCTCACATTGTCTAGTCAGATACTTCAGGCTATTCCTGGAGGTCTTCTACATTGTTGGAGGTGCTGTTCTTTAGATGAGATGTTAAACCAAGGTCCCAATACCTGTTTAGATGGATGTTAAAGATCTCTATGGCGCTATTTAAAAAGAAGCAAGTTTCTCCCAGTTTTCTCCCAAAAATTGATCATTCATTTCATGACTGTTTGTGGGATATTACTGTGTGGAAATTGGCTGCTGCATTTGCCTGCAAAATGCAGACAATACACTTTGCACTAGATCATTCAGAACTCCTCAGCCCATGTCCTCTCATGCACCAGACTCCGTGACCCTATCACACACATCCTCGCCTAACTCCACTAGCTTTCCATCACACAGAGGATACAGTTCAAGTTCCTGGTCCTCACCTTCAAAGCCCTCCATGGCCTTGCTCCCCCCTACCTATGCGACCTCCTAAACCCCTACCAACGTGCCCAATCCCTCTGCTCAGCAGACTCAGGGTTGCTTCATGTCTCGCACCTCACCCACCCCACCATTGGCGGGCCTTCAACCACTCTGCCCCATTCTCTGAAACTCTATCCTGCAGTAACTCTGACTCATCCCTTCCATTGCCTCCTTCAAGACCCATCTCAAGATCCTCTTCTTCGATGGTGCTTCGATCACCCTCCTTCCCTCCTTCCACCCCTGCCCTCCATTTTCCCCAATTCCAACCCCCAGCTCGGGTCCGACTGTCCAGCTCCTTGGGGCGTCCTCCCGACGTGAAAAGCGCTATACAAATGTCATTTTGTATCCTGTGAAGTGCTTTCAGACATCCTTCTGATTTGAAACGTGCTATATCACATGCGAGGGTGATTATTATTGTGAGATGAGTATATCTGATTTGCTCTGGATTGACCACACCGTGGAATGTGAGTTTATTATGGGATTTTCCCAATTGTCGTAAATTTGCTAAGCAGTGGAGATCAACTTGCTTGGCTGAGAAGTTCAGTACAATTACAAGTGATCAAAATATCCCAAGTCCTTATCCTTATTTTCTACAGCTTTCTATGTGCTGCAGAGAAATCCATCTCTTAAGGTAGGTCTTATAGCCTCCAAGAACATTGTGCTGCTCCAGCCATCAGCAGCATCGCTGGAGGTAAATCTGGTATCAGTGCTGACAGCTTGGATCAATAGAAAAACAAAGGAAGAGTAGTCCACTCCAGCCTTTTATTAATCTACATGTCCAGATGTACGTGTGTCACTTTTAAATTTACTAATCGACTTTATTGATTTTTTGGTTTGCTGCCAACGATTTTTTTGCTAACATTAAGGCAGATGGCTCGTTAATCTGCAGAAATGTTGGCCCCTTTAAGAGCCCAATGTGTGAACTCCTCCAGGTCCTATGATCATCCAGAACTATGTTGTGGGGGAAGTCATGAATCTTTGGAGTGTTGTTACTTTCAAATAGAAATATGACTGGAAACGGTGTAAAGGTTGTGACAGAGAGAATGATGTCCTTTGTCACTGCAAGGTTTACTTCGACGTCTTCAGAATGGGTACAGGATTTTTACTGGCTGAAATCTAAAGGGATTGTAGATGGTTTTGTCCATAAAATACAGTCAATCCTTTTCACAAAATACTCTGTGAAGCACTTTGAGATGTCTCAACGACATGATAAGGCGCTATATTCAATGCAAGGATTATTATTATTATGGTGGAACTTCCAACGCAATCAATTGTTTACTTTCAACCTCAGTATCTCCTTGGAATTTGTTATATCAAAGCTTCATGACCTATATTTTGACAATACGAACACTGTATCTATTGTCTCAAGCGCCAGAGTAAACTAAAACTCAAATAATCACCACATCTGAAGTCAGCACTGTTCAGACAGCGATGGACAAACACATAACAACAGAAGTTATCATTTGGCTCATTGTGTCTGCTCCCCATTTTTCTAAGATGCCCTTTTCAGCTCTTTCACCATATCCCTCAGTGCTCAGGTACTTGTTTCATCCCCTTTTGAATGATTCTATTGATGCAGCTTCAATAGCCACTTGTGAGAATGAATTCCACGTTGTAACAACCATCTGAAAATATTCCTTCTAAAATCTCCCCTAAAGTCTCATTGTCAATGCAATAATAATAATAATAATCCTTGCATTTGATATAGCGTCGGGAGGACGTCCCAAAGCGCTTCACAGAACACACTGTAAAGTGAATTGACTGTATATTTGTGGGCGAACGCGGCAGCCAATTGCGCACAGCAATACCCACAAACAGTCGTAGATTGAAAATGACCAATTTTTATTTTATTTATTTTATTTTATGATGGCCTCACTGTTGTTAAGGGGGTGGAGTATAATATGTCACTTTCGAGGGAAGAATGCAGTGGGGATAGATGAATAGAAAATATGAGTGTTTGCTTCATTACCTTTGTTCTTTTATTATTACAATAATCCTTATAATCTTTGAATTCAATGTAGTGCCTTATCACACTATCAGGATATCTCAAAGTGCTTCAAAGGATGTACTGTAAAGTGTAATGTTTGTTTATTTTATGAGCAAAATGCTGCAACCAATTTGCGCACAGTAATGTCCTACAAACAGCCATGAAGTAAATGATTAATTTTATTTCGGTGATAGTTGGTAGTTTTTTCAGGAACTGTTGAAAACTGGTTTCCAATTTACGACTTTTAAAAATTCTGCACAATCTTATATTTTATGACAATGATTTCAAGGCTAAACCTATGACCAATTTCAGCCTGAATACCAAACTGGCCCTGGTCACTGATCATTATAGAATAATAAACACAGATCTCACTGCTGACGCAGACCAGTGTATTAAACAGCTGGATACTTTAATATCACAAAGCTTCATCTCTGTCAGGAATTTTTTTTGGTTAGTTATGCTATCGAGTTATACTACAGAGACATATAACAAAAATAATAATAATCCTTGCATTTTATCTAGTGCGTTGTCACATCCTTGAGACATCTCAAAGTGCTTCATAGAATATACTATTCCAGGCAGAGGGCGAAACCTTGGGCAAGTTTCCTTACTCCACACAGAGCCTAATAATAATCCCTCCAAAACCAAAAACAATAATTAAATTGGTCATTTTTCAATCTACGACTGTTTGTGGGACATTGCTGTGCGCAATTGGCTGCCGCGTTCGCCCACAAATATACAGTCAATTCACTTTACAGTGTGTTCTGTGAAGCGCTTTGGGACGTCCTCCCGACGTGAAAAGCGCTATATCAAATGCAAGGATTATTATTATTATTATTACTATAAAGTGAATTGACTGTATATTTTGTGGAAGAAACACGGCAGTCAATTGTGCACCTCAGTGTTCCACAAACAGTCATGGATTGAGTGACGAAATTCTTATTTGTTAAAAAAATTTGAAGGGATTATTACCCCCAGAAAAGTGATTGGCCAATCGACTAACAACCAGGTTCATACTTACTGCTATGTAAACAGAGGTGTGTGGAGTAAGGAAACTTGCCTAATGTTTCGCTCTGCCGGGAATCGTACCCAGATCCTCTCACTTGCGAGACAAGTGCTCTAACACTAAGCTACAGGAGTCCATATTGCATGTGAGGGAAAGGGATGGCATGAAGCCACGCCGCCTTAAGGAATAAAGGAATTAAAAGACCAACATTAGTGTCTCATCCAAAGAATGATTTAATGATGTGGTCGACGTGAGTGCGAGAGTGTGAACTTTGTCTCTCCTGGGCTGGTGGACACAGGGAAAGCAATATTGAACAATACAAACATCACTGAGCTCTATGTAAGACCTACAGTTTACAATAGGATTTGTAATATTGATATTCGAACATGAACAATATGCAGGAAAATCCTTGGTGCTCACTGTAGATTTGTATAATCTCTTTTAATCCAGAAGAAACATTCAAAACTATCACCGTTTATTCATTGTTAAACAACTGTTATACCATCCAACAACATCATAGGACTTTCATATGAGTAAATAAAAAAGATTTGTTCTAAAGTTCACAGCAGCATAGTCCAACATTACAATCCCAAACAGTACTAGCACTGGTCACTGAGACAACAAGTGTTACAAACTCAATTTAAAAAAGCACAAGTTGTTGCGTTATTGTTTATTTTAAAGTAGTATTTTCCTCCTGAGTATTATGCATTTACCCAGGCTAAGTGATTACTCAAAATATGATTTTCTTTACACTTGGAAACATTAGGGTTGACTGAACAGAACTGAATCCCCACTGTGGCCTAAGCAAGCTCCTCAGTCTGGTTCAAACGCATTATTTGTTGCCCCTGAACATGGCGACTTCTTCTTGCTTTTCATTATGATCCTGCCAAGGATGCTTCGGGTTGTGTGCGGTGGGTTTTCTGTCAGTGGTACGGTGGCATCTGGTCCTAGAGCCAGGACTGGGTACTGCTTGGCATTCTTCCTGTTTTGCCTGAAAAAAATATGTGTCAACCATGACCTTTGTACTTCTGTTTTAGCTTGTTTCGCTTAAACTGTTCAACTCCTCATTGTTATTGACTGTATTTAAAAATGGAACCCATAATTCTAATAGCGTAGAATATTTTATACTCTGATACAATACTGGAGTGTTGTATTGTTGGAGGTGCCATCCTTCAGATGACACACTAAATTGAAGTCTTGTCTGCATGTTCAGGTTCCATTTTCCCCATATAAAATTCATCATTCATCTCATGGCTGTTAGTGGGATATTACTGTGTGCAAATTGGCTTCTGCGTACACTTACAAAATGCAATCACTACATTTTGTGAAGCACTTTTAGAAGTTCTCTCAGTTTGAAAGGCACCATATCAAATGCAACAAGTATTATTGTTATTGTTATTATTATTTTAATAATAATTAATATTATTAACGTTAATAATATTAATTTGGGTTATTTTACAAGATAATTGAAAGAAATACTGTACAACAGCATTAACTTGCATTTATATAACACCAGGCACGTGGGATAATGTCTCGGAGTGCTGGACTGTAGCACCTTATCATGTTATAGCATGTCCAGCGCCTTGGGACTTCCTGCTGACGTGTAAGGCACTTTACAAATGTAATTTTGTTGTTGTTGGTTGTTATAAAATGTAGTGATTTTTTTATTCAAATAGGGAAATAATCTGTGCTTTTTTTGTACAGGGAAGCAGTTTCTGGAATGGCTTGTGACCAAGTTTATATGAATTAAAGTCAATTCATATAATTTCTGATTTAGCTACTAATCAAATAATGCTTGAAGTTATTCTAAGTCTACACTTAGTCATGATTATGATTTGTAAACTATTAAATAAATAAATAAATAAATTAATGGAGTATTAAATAAAATATATTGCAAATATTCCAAACAGCAATTTGCTAAAACTTGAGAGAAATAGTTTTTTATGTTAGTATTGTGATCAAATTACTGGTGTAATTACATTACAACCCACTAACAGTGAAAAGTACTTCACAGTGTCATGTAACTTGATAGTTCCAGAGATAAAACTCTTAACCATTGTTAGGTTTAGATAGTGACTAAATATCTTAATTACACTTCAAAGGCATTCATTCCAATTCATTTACTGGTAACAGGCTTTGTCAACATGGAGACACCCTTTCATGCTTAAGAGTATCCAAACTACATTGAGAGTTTAACCTACGCATGGAAATTTCCCTGTGTCTGAGTCTGCAGCTTAGGTCCTGCTTACCTAATTCTGGATAGTATTAGGCTCAAGTTGGCGAAAGATAAGGCATGGGGACCCCAGATTGTGTGTTGGAGTCCTGCTGGAGTCTAACCAGCTAAAACCTTTCTAAGTTGTAGAATGTGTCAAGAACAACTGTTCCATTGGGAACAAAATCTCTCTGTCGGCGGATTCATCAAATGGTAAAATGTTGTGAGACCTACCCTGTGCCCTCCTTCTCCTACATGCTGCCTCAACCAAGCCGTCATAGTGGGGACCTTGTGATGGTCAGGCTCTCTCCACCTCACATGGAATAGGAGTAAACAACCAGCATTTGTCTGACTTGCCCTTGGTTGGAATATACTTTGTCTACTCTACATTGGAGCCACGGGATCACTCTCTCTGACCCACTTTGGGAGGTGGGAGGGCGATTGTTAAAATCACCCACAAAACAGAGTCACTTCACTTTAGAATATATCCTGTGAAGCTGTTCCCGACATCCAACTGAGGTGAAAGGCACTATACCAAATGGAAGGATTATTATTATTGAGAGAGGATGCATGGGAAAGGTGAGAAAAACAGGGAAAAAAAGATTTTAAAAACATCGAATAGTTGTAATAAAAGTTTGCTGATTCTTTATTTTCCACTTCACCAGGTCTCCAGTGGATGAGGGAAAAAGAATATGGTTTTGAAAGCTTCAAAGCTGGTCCTGTGTACTGAAGAAACTCAGCCCCTCAAAGACTTAACAAGCAAGTCTGTTTTAACATTGTAGCTATACAGAACTGTCCTGTTTTATAGCGCAAATATTTGAGTGCTTTTGGTAAAAGCCAATAGCTGGCCACCCTGTCCCAACACAAAGGAGCAGACATGTGTTTTAGAAAGTGCTTGTTTGTGCACTGTGTTAAATGAGGGCTCATTGTCCAGGAAGGGTAATTGCAGTTGACGCTGTCATGTAGTAAAACAGATGACCCCTGACTTGTACCACCTGCCGCATTGCTAATCCCCTGCCGAGTGTCTGGCAGACGGTCTTCGCCCAGCAACAATCTCCCTACAGTTAGGCACAGCTGTGATCGGAAAGAAGAGGCTGCGATGAGACGGAGTGTAAAGAACTTACCCTCTCGCTGAAGGAGAGACATCTGGACTAGGCTCAGGAATCAGACCTGGTCTGAATGAAGCGTGGATGACTGGCAAGGCTTGCGATTTCTTAGAGAAAAAACAACCAGAATAAGATAACCTTGTAACCATTTCTAGTGCACACTTATGTTTGCTCTAGTCGCTGATGAAGCCAAGATTTCCCCCATCATTACCCTCACACTTTAAATAATAATAATCGCAGTGTTTGATACAGCACCTTAACACGTCGTTGAGACGTCTCAAAGCGCTTCACAGAATATACTGTGAAATGAGTTGACTGTATTTTGTGGGCGAAACGCGGCAGCAAATTGCGCACAGCAGTGTCCCACAAACAGTCGTGGATTAAGGCGACCAAATTATTATTATTTATTTTGAAGGAATTAAAAAGTATTCTACCTCAACTGCAAGTTTTAAATACTGCTTCACCTTATAGTTGTAGGGCACATCTGTTTCGGTTGCTGATCATGAAAGGAGTGGGGAGGTGGGGAATGCACAGGAAATATTTTATCCTAAGTCACGCTTTGAAATGTATTTGTTTAAGTGAGTTAATGTTTGTTCGCACATGCTGCACATTTTTTGTATGTTTTTGTTTCTCTGTGGTGTTAGTATGATTTCCAATCCAGCATCTAAAGAGAGCGGCTTTGTACTTTGGTATAAAAAGCCGGAATGTAATAGCAAACAGAACCTGACAGCGACCTCTAACAGCATGGGCTGCTACTGCACGTACTGACAGCTCACTTGCTTTTTGAGAAGAGTGGTTCACTAATTAAAACAGACAAGATTCTCAGCTCCCCTTCAATACAGTTCATGATCGCTGTCTGGTGACCCCTGCTGGAAAGTGTGTGTTACCGTGTGCGTGGAATAAAGATGGATTCGAGCTTGGGGTTGGAGTGCTGTTAAGGTACCAGGTATAAGATATTAATCGAAGCTCCAGAAGGCAGCTCTCCACTTGATTATTTTACAAAGAAGAGAGTTGTGACTGCGGGGGAAATGCCTGTGACATAAACAGTATTCTTTCCAGGGAATCCCCTGTATGGCACATAATAATAATCCTTACGTTTGATATAGCATCTTAATATGTTCTTGAGACGTCGCAAAGCTCTTCACATGACTTACTGTAAAGTGTGCCAATTGCGTACTTTGTAGGTGAACATGGCAGTCCATTTGCGCACAACAATGTCCCAAAACAGCCATGCAGCGAATGGTCATTTTTGTCTGGGGAGGATTGTTGTTCAGGATCTTTAACATCGAATGAACAGATAGTCAGATCCTCAGTTTTAATACTTCATCTGTAGGACAGGTAGGAATGGTGAGGCTTCAGTTCAGACCTGAGATTTCACTGTTTCACTGGAGCTTAATTTCTTTTGGAAGACTGTGTATTGTGGGAAGAGGCTACACTTGTCTCTTTGGCCCATTTTTGTTTTGCAATTTGACAGGTTTTGCTGTTTCACAGATATTGGAAATTAAACAAATGATTACACTTCCCATCTGTTCTGTGCAAATCAAACCCCAATATTACCAAGTGAGATTCTCCACATTCCCGTAACGCATGGCTCACAACTGAGAATAGCAGAGAATCCCATCCAAGACCTACGTCTTCGACCGTGCCTTTGGTCACCTCCCCTTTCCCCTTTCGCTTGCTTAGCGTCGAAACCCGCCATTGTGCAGTGCTGGTTAGATTCCAGCAGTTACCCCAATTCACACTCTGGGGTCCCCAAGCCTTGGCTTTTGCCAACCTGCGCCTAGGACTTTCTGGAATCAGGTAAGCAGATTGCGTCACTCCGGGGAGAGAGTTTGCATTCCATTTCAACAATCTATCTCTGGGCTTTCTATGTATAGGTGGGATGCATGGAATTCTGAGTTTGGTTTGGATACTCTTAAGCACGGTGATGAGTTTCTGCATCCGGCTGACCAAACAAAAACCAAACCACGCAGCTCCCCAAGACACACTTTCCTGCATGAACGACACTTATATAAGATGCAAGTTTTTATAATAATCCTTCCATTTGATATCGCGCCTTATCACGTCTTCAAAACGTCTCAAAACGCTTCACGCTTCACACAATATATTGCAAAGTGAATTGACTGTATATTTTTGGGTGAAACACGGCAAACAATGGCGCACAGTAGTGTTATTGTGTGTGATTTAAATATTGATATACAAGTAAATGTTTTTAAGCTTTTTACCTTTTTTAAGTTTCTGCTCCAACGTTTTAGAAATATTTACATTATATTGTCTTTTATCTGTTATTATGTTTGTCCTCCCTGAGCTAAATAACCGCAGGACAAATTCAAAACTTGTTGCATTTTGTTGCAAAAGCTTACCTCAAACATTGAGGTGCTCCGTCTTACTGCTTTGCAGACAGCCTGTGGGGTCGCTCCAGCCTGCCCAAGGTGACTACCTTGGGCAGGCTGGAGCGACCCCACAGGCTGTCTGCTGTCTGCTTTCTTGATGGAGTTCTCTTTGGTGTTGCTATTTTTCACTTGGCCATAGTTTTCCTCTAAAGGTAAAAGATGGGGAAAAAAACGATGCTGAAATTCTTAATCTGCCATTCGTCAGGGTTATTCCCAGGAATGTTTGATTTACTTGGGATCAAGGAAAAAAAGTGATGCGCACCACAAAGCAAGGAGATAATGGTGGGGACGGAGGGAGGGGAATGAGATATAATGAGCATGGGATCACGAGACTGACCGGTTTGTGACAGTGGCATTCAAAACTCTGCGGCCCGCATTCTCACCAGTACCAAACTTCATACCCCGATTACTCCTGTCCTTGTCAAACTTCACTGGCTCCCTGTCACAGAGCGGATCGACTTCAAGATCCTCTCTCTAGTGTTTAAGTCCCTCCATTCCTTGGCACTCCCCTATCTCTCTCACCTCCTCTCTCCCCACAGCAGTACCCGCTGCCTCCAATCCACTGGCTCCAGCCACTGGCTCCGGCTCCGGAAGTGTCCTCCGAATCTTCCGCTCCACCATCAGCGGCCGTGCCTTCAGCCATGATGCCCCGTAACTTTGAAACTCCCTCCCTCAACCCCTTCGCCTCGTCCCCTCCTTCCGCATCTTCAGGTTGTGCCTAAAGACCTTCCTCTTCGACAGCGCCTATGGTCACCTTCCCCTCCCTCTGGCTTGGCCTTGGGCTCCGCCATTGTTAAGCGCTCTGAGATGCCGCCCGGCGTGGAGGGATTGTGGTTGTGATTGTGGTAAAGTGTGGATTGTGCCAGTGAAATGCATACAAGTAAGCGCTGCCCCCATCTACTAACTATCATCGCTATTAGTGCAGGTTACGGCCCACTCCATGTTACTTTGGGAATGCTCATTGCTTGCCACTGCTTGCAATGCTCACTGAGACCAGCTAACTGAATACAGACCAGGGATTAAACTTGGGAAACCTTCCCAATTCGCATGCGTCACTGGGTAAATCTGCAGTGCAATCGAGGACCCCTCGGGTACTTATTCCATTGCAATTTATATCATGGAGTCAATTGCTGACAAACACAATAAAACCTTCAACCAAAACTTCGTTTTAAAGTAATTGGATAATCTTAACCTACAAAAGTTAACATTCCAATGTCCGACATAAAATCAACCAGTTTCACAGCTGCTTTGTTACTGCTTTAGGAAGCTACTTAACTGGGCCCTGAATTCCAGCACTTACTGTGTTTACTGACATAGGTGGATGGGAAGTATCCCTGTTGTCCGTTTTCCAAGCGCCCAAACCACCAAACCTCATCATCCTTGTACAGCACCTGGATAAGATCACCTTGGCAAAGTATCAGTTCGTCTGACCAGTGAGGATAGTAATCACATTCTACCACCACCTGCAAGAGGTCAACATTGGGAGGAGGTTATAACAAATGCTCATTCATTGTAACACTTGTCTCTGCCAAAAATCTAAACAATTTACATGCCAACACCATGTCTGTAACTACGGATAGAAACTGAGAAACTGAATTAAACTCAATTCACTTCTGGTCCACAGCTATAAAAAGTGATGACTTTCATCACATCTATTTGGAATGTATTCAAAATCAGGTGCCGGAGTTGGAAGGACAGTGCTCTCTCTCTGTCTCTCGCTCTCTCTCTGTCTCTCGCTCTCTCTCTCTTGCTCTCTCTCACTGCTGCCATGCTGAAGTCTGCTGACTTTGTGAAAGGGATGCGACGGGTCACAGCCAGTGTGAGATTGGGGTCTAAAATGCAGCATTTACAAACAGCAAGATGTGGTTTTCTTTCTTCGGGGCACCTAACATTACATGATTCGCTAACAGATTTACTGAAAAGCAATTGTGATCCCAAAGCTGGCAAAGGATGTTTCTCGGGCAGTTTTATGCTTGTTGTTGGACTTTTCTTGGCAGAGAAACTCCTCAAAACAAAAAACTGGCTCCAGTCACACACTAGAAAGACATCACCAAAAGCCTTATTAAACCAATGCACAGCCAAGGTCCTGAGGGACACTTTTCAAACGTGTTTGCACAGGTATAGTTTAATATAGTCACTGCCAAATAGGCATTCAGCACATTTGGCTTTCCAATTGAAATGATGAACAGTCCTGCCTATGAGCCCCTTTTCTCTGCTTAGAAAAGAGAAGAGAGTTCTCTCAGTGTCCTGGCCAGCAATTCCCCCCAAAGAAACAATTGGTCATTCACGTCAAGGCTGTTTGTGAAATTACTGGCTCCTAATTTTACCTACAAATACACTGCCACTACACTTTAGAGAAAGCCTGTGAAGCACTTTGAGCAATGTTGATATTATCGGTGCAATAACAAATGCAAAGATTATTAATATTATTATTATTTTCTATGTAGCCAGATTTCTCAATGGCCTTCTGGCTCTCAGATTTGACTGCCAGTCAGCAGGGCAGCAGTTTTATACTGAGTTTTTCTTGAGTATATACACCACTGATCCCCAAAGACAAATTTGTGGACCCAGGTTCATGAACATTAGTATCAAGAGGTACATGGAGTGAGGGGGGGTGAAGGGTCGTCTCCAGAACATCTGGATACATTTGTAAATGATACATTATAAGTTAATGTACAAAGTATTTATTAGATCCTGTTTCTTCTCAGAAATTTTAGATTGGAAGGGAGCGCGGCTTGGGTCACTCCTGCAACAGAATGGCTTTGGGAATACCTGGCAGCAGTGGCCCCTGCTCTTCACCCCTTTCTCTGTCTGGGTTACTAGGAGTAACAGAGGGAAGGGAAGAAAATGATGAAACTCCTCGAAAAAAAACAATAATTAAAGACTGAAATGCTGATTCAGGAATGGAGCCATATACTGAGAGTGCTACACAGGTGCATTGGTGACTGGGATCAGCATTGATGCTAAGATAAATATGAGGTCTGCAGTAACAGAGCTTCTATTCATATTATGACTTGGCAAAGTGTAATGAAAGGCCTTTGCGATATTAACTGACTGAAAATGCTGTACAATGAATCTGAACATAAAAATATCTTAGACATTACACATCTACAAAGAGCTTAAACATAGATGCCCTGCGAGTGAACTGCAACACTGCAGTCATTGTGTGACCAGTCAAAGGCTGGGAGTGGGTTAGTACAGGTGCGATCGAGGACAGAGGCAAACTGGAATACCCAAGGAAAAAAAGTGGTAAATAATATATAATATTTAATAAAGGAGGTATTTGAGGATATTCTGTGCATTGAATAGTACTTGTTGTTGTAACAGACTTGGGGTACCGGCAGTGAGGAAGCATGCTAAGGTGGGGCTTGATCTGTAAAGGGTGGAAGGTCTCTCTCTCTCTCTTTCTCTCTGGGGCTCCAGGAAGGCCAGGGATCGAACAAGCCTGAGCCTAGGTCATATGGCTGGCCAGGGGCTTGCGGACAGTAAAGTTGCGTAACGAAAGGGGAAGCGGGACTGTGAGGGCGAGAGGATGTAAGAGGGGTTGCAGAGCACTGACCACAAACCCAAGTGCCTGCACTTCTCCAGGACTGTTAGTGGTTCAGTCTGTCTCTGTTTGGGGCCATTGTGGTTTCACCCACCTCCCCATTTGTGTTAATAAACTGTGATTCTTGAACCAAGTGTGTGTCTATGTGGGTGAGTATCTTTCTGGCCTACGAGGTTACAGTATCATGTGGGAGCTGAGCCATTTCTGCTGAGGTCTGTCTGGTAAGCAAACAACAGATCAGATTAGCTGATTAAAAGTGGAATTGGCACAGCCTCAGCTGGGTGACTATTTCTGTCTGTGCAAAAGATCACACGTCCTTACTGTCCCATGATTACTGAGATTAATGATTCTTGCTGCCACAACAAAGGGCAGATTAATGGCAACAGTAATATACAATTCAGAGCTCTCTGTGGTCAGAACGCATCACTGTTAATATATATACATATATATATGCAGCACTATACTTTTGATAGTTCTACAAATACCAAGGATCAGATGCTTAGCGTGGTGTAAGAATGGAAAATACTGTGTCCTTAGCCTCATGGCACCTAGTCTCAAAGGTCACTACGCAAACACCACACACACCATGTCACAAGGTATTGTACTCGGAGACTTTGAATGAAAACGTTTGACACGCAGGAGACTTCAAAACACTTGCTGCTTTAAGTGCCGCTGCTACAACCGTTATTTATGCTGCGTTTTCTTTGATGGCTTGCTAGCAATGGCAAGCCCGTCTTCACTGACGATCAACCATGAAAATAATTAGACTTTCCTGGCGGCCGAAGTATATGGACCATTCTTGCCCCTCTGCAGCAAGTCACTGCTGTCCATTGAATGACATTGAGCAGCCAGGCACCAGACAAAGTGAAGGCTTCACAAGCATAGCCTCTGACACAGTCATTTTCATGATCATTTCTACCCACAAAATATACAGTCAATTCACTTTACAGTATGTTCTGTGAATTGCTTTGAGATGTCTCAACTATGTGATAAGGCGTATTATTAAATGCAAGGATTATTATTATTATTAACCAAGTCAACCTGGCTCAGATGAGAGGTCAGAGCGCTTGCGACTGAGCCAGGCTGATATCTAAAGCGATGTGGAGAGATATCTTTAATCCCAGCATGACCCAGAAGCCACGTCTCTGAGGTATGATGAAAATTGATATTTTCATTTCACGGAGTTTATTCTGGCAGCTTTACGCTGGAGAAGATAAGAGCTGGTAAAGTTACTAGTTTAAATGGGTTATAAGACTAGGAATCTCCCTTGCTGCTCATTAAACTGGATCAAATGTCTAATACAAGAAAGATGACCTAGTTTGTTAAAAGAAAATATAGCAATAGAAATGAATTAACTGTGGGGCTCTACTTAACACTTGGTGGTAAGGTGAGGTAGCAGAGTGCTGCTGGCATCCACATAACTAACCCTGAAATGAGTCAAAGCCTTCAGGAGAAGAGGGATACAATTTTCACACAGCGCCCGAGCAGGGGGTTGGGATCATGGAGGTGGAGGGCAGTGGGGAGGGTAAAGATGACTGAAAGTGCGGTTAAAAACAACAACAACAAGATTCCATTTATAGAGCGTCTTTCACGTAGGGAGGACGTCCCAAGGCGCGATACAGTTGGGTCAGGACCCGAGCAGGGGGGAAATGGTCAGGGAGAGGGAAGAGAGGGAGCGAGGAGGGGGTAGAAAGTCGAGAGGGGAGCTGAAGGCACGGTCAAAGAGAAAGGTCTTGAGACCGGCCTTGAAGGAGGAAAGGGAGGAGGCAAGGTGAAGGCACTGGGGAATGGGGTTCGAGAGCCTAGGGGCTGAGAGGCTGAAGGCCCGGCCACCGATGGTAGGGCGGTTGGGGCGGGGGATGTGGAGCAGACCGGAACTAGAGGAACGGAGGGTACGGGCAGGTAGGTAGGGGGATAGTAGGTCAGAGAGGTAGGAGGAGCAAGGCTACATTTTGAGATGTGCCTTGAAAGAGAGGAGGGAGGGAGGCAGGAAACGAGTCAGAGGGACTGGGATTCCAAAGAGCGGGGGCACAATGGATGAAAACCTGCCTGCTGACAGAAAAGAAAGGAAGAAAAACAGTAAACAACAGATGTATGTGTGTGAAATGATTCAGTTAGGTGAACTTGATCTTTGCACTTCACCTCTACCAATTACAGCCAGAGTGACTAGTGACTGTATCGTTCAGAACCCAGAGATTGGCTCAGGATTCATTTATATTAAAAAAAACTTAACAATCTGCATCCAAGCTAAATCATCTTGTTGAAGCTCAAAGCTAAATCATATGAAACTGATTCACAAGCGGGTAGAGCAAATGGGGGGCGCGGTGGTGGATGGGGTAGGAGTGCAAACCCTGCCTCAATATCTGCCTTTTATACAAACGGTGAGCTGAAAGTTTAAACACTATTAGTTTGGCCTGTTTTCAAAGACCTAAACCAGAACACTATTCTCAAGGACTACATAATAGGATTGTAAAAGGAATCCATCACATGCAGTCCCTGTTTACCCTGAGTTTCTGTGCAATACCATATTGTTCCCTTCCCCACCCCCAACAAATGTACTGTTGCTTCTTTTTTCACATGTTAAAGAACTGAGATAAATACAGAGCCTTATCCCAATGTCTCTGATTGGTGTAGTACTGAGCCATACACACCTAGAACTCCCCCCACCCTACCACCACCTCGGTACTATCCCTGGTCTCCGTGTTGCAGTGAAAGCAGAGATATGACAATTAGCATCTGCATTCCTGGGCTATAAACTGAGAAAAAAAAGTTAGGCTCTCATCACTATTCAGTCACTATTGCTACTGAATATGTGAATGTCAGGTAAGAATTGGACATGATGTTCCTTCCCCTTCAGCAGTCCAGGTGTGTGTGCGTGTTGGGGGGACGAATAAACAGCATTGCTTTAGTTTTCCACATTCTGTACAGTTTGCTGTAACTCAAAGTAAAAACGCAACTGCAATATGAATAGTGTGAAAGTATGAATGCTGACACAAAGTGCAATGGAAACGGCTTCTCAGTGCACCTTAAAAATGCCTCCACTATATTTTGAGTGTCCTGCAGTTTAGCAGTGAGCCTCCAATATAATATTTCGGATTGCTTTCAGGCTGTGAGCTTTCTTTACAGTACATTGTTGTTAGACATGAATTAAGCTTTTGAACACTCTATACTGAGACTGGCCAGAGAATCCACATCAAAGCTAGAGCCCGAGGGTCTTAGAAAACACAAGCTCAACTGATGCAGCTTTGTAACTTTGCCTACCTCTTGAAAACGTAATTCAACCCTGTTTATGTTTGCTTGCTCAGTCCTCAGCACTCTGTTTAGAAATCGCCATCAAGAAATGCTAAAGTTCTTAACCCACCATCTACAGCTTGTGATCTACTTCATAAAATATTGTTTGTTTCCAAAAATAGTATCTGATTCAATAACCTAGGATGGTTTAGATTATGACTGCTAACTCTGATAATTGACCTGTTGTATTTAACCCCTCACTGTCTCTCTCTTGCTATCTGACAGTACATTCTGGTGATTGCTTTGGTTACTTTGGTTGTCGACTCATCTGATAATCATTCCAGAATTTACAATAATAATAAAAATACTTGCATTTTACAGAGTGTCTTATCAAGTTATCGAAAGTCACAAAACACTTCCCAGGATTTACTGAACAAAACACAAAGTACTGCAGATGCTGGAAATCTGAAACAAAAACAGAGAGAGCTGGGAAAACTCAGCAGGTCAGGCAGCATCTATGAAGAAAGGAAAGTTCTGACGAAGGGTTGTGTACCTGAACCGCTGACTCACTTTCCTTTCTTCATAGATGCTGCCTGACCTGCTGAGCTTTCCCAGCTCTCTCTGTTTTTGTCCCAGGGTTTACTGTCCACCTGAACAGGTAGATGATTTAACACCTCATACGAATACCTCCAATTTTATGATAATAATAATCCTTGCATTTGATATAGTGCGTTACCTCGTCTTCGAGGCGTCTCAAAGCTCTTCACAGAATATACTGTATTATTGCTTAACTCTTTGAGAACATCACTGACATTTCTGTGTCTGCCGGCACAATATTAACCTTTCGATTTATTCATGAAAAAAGGACAATAATAATCCTTACATTTGGTATAGAGCCTTTCACGTTGGGAAGACATCCCAAAGCGCTTCACGGGATTTACTGTAAGCTGTAATGACTGTGTATTTTATAGGTGATTATTATTATAAGTTAGAACACTTTATTTATAGCTTGTTTGAATCTTTAGAAAATCCATCATTTCGGATCTACTCGTTTCTCAAATTGCTACCTTGAGCACAAGCGTAATTTCCAAAAAGCCCTTTCACAGTGTCTAGAAGCCTAAGACTGATCGATCCACATAATGGTTCACACGTATTTCATTCACAAGGTTGCCCCTAGAGGTGAAACGTCATCAATTGTAGACAAAGTCTGGCAACCCTGGAGCCCATGTAATAATGTAATAATAATAATAATAACCCTTGCATTTGATATAGCACTTTATCAAGTTGTTGAGACCTCTCAAAACTCTTCACAGAATATACTGTAAAATGGATTGAATTGACGTGTATGTTGTGGGTATAAATGTAAACTCCATACCTCCATCACACCAGTCCTTACTAGGCTCCACTGGCTCCCAATTACTGAACGGATCAATTTCAAGATCCTCTCACTTGTTTTCAAATCCCTTCATGTCCTCGCACCTCTCTACCTATCTATCTCGACCTGCTTCCCCCCCTCTCCATCACCCGCTGCCTCCGCTCGGCTGGCTCTGGCCTCCTGTTTGTCCCTCGTCCCCTCCGCTCCACCATTGGTGGCCGTGCCTTCAGTCACTGCGCTCTGGAACTCTCTCCCTCAATCCCTCTGCCTTGCCCCCTCCCTCCCCAACTTCACATCCTGCCTAAAGACCTTCCTTTTTGCTTGTGCTCGCGATTACCTCCCCGCTCCTTCTCCCCCGGCTCATTGCCAGACTCCGCCACTGTCAAGCGCTCTGGGACACTGCCTCCGTGAAGGGCACTGTATAAATGCAAGTTGTTGTTGTAAACCTTAAACCAACAAGTCCCAGGTTTGGTGCAAGCTTCTGTCAGTGCAAGATTGGGCTGTTAGCACTTACTGTGAGTTTAATCACACACCACAAGCTTTGAAGCACTTTGAGACGCCTCGAAGACGTGATAACACGTTATATCAAATGCAAGGATTGTTATTATTATTAATAATACTTGTTGTTGTAGTACATCCAGCACTGACACACACACACACTTTTATTCCCTGCAGGTTTGAATAGAAATGTGATTCTCTTACCCCATTATATATCAGCATCACTTTCTGGTGATTTAATTAGCTTTTTATATTAAAAAAAAGTGCACCTTACCGTTTTGTGCCTCACTGGTGTGAAGTCGCTCTGTTTGCTCCTGGCGGCACTGCCTGCTGTGAGACGGTTGAAAGAGAGCTGTGATTAAGAAGCAGCCTGGAATAATAACATTACATTTCACAGCTCAGCAGCACAGCCACAATAAAGGGTCAAAACAACACAACAAAACACACACACAATGCTGCACTCCCACTTCTACTGTCTGCACAGAAAAGTGAGGATCATCAGCCGGATATTGAGACTTACCCGCAACCAGCTCACTTTTAGGGGACAGAACAGTGGTGAAGACTTGCAAGCGGTCGTCACTGCAGCTGAAAACCTGATGCATTTTGCAGCCAGCCTGCCAGCCAGCCCACTGCCTGCCTGCCTGCTTTGGCTTTGACCACAAGTGCCAGGCAAGTGCTGCAAGGGGCCTCTTTAATCCAGCCGCTCCCGCCTCTCTGGTCCCACAGGGAGAAAATGCGAGTGACCCCGTTTACCCATCCCGTATTCTTCAGTGCAATTCCCATTAGCTCCATCTGTCTTTTTGTGAATCCTATTAATAGCAAAAGCCAATTTGTATTCAGTAAGCACTTCTAAACCCAAAGGGGGAGTTGAAGCTTCTGTTCACCCATTTATTTTACTCTCCCCCAACATGAGTACTAAAAATCAGTATCAGAAGTTTTTCTAATGCTGAAATAGCCAGATAAAAGAGTTATCATTGAACATCCATCGTTTTTAGCATAGATATAAATCTCACATTTTGTAAAGAAACACTCATTTAGCAAGAAAGTGGGCTTAACACAACTGTCATAATAGCAAAGACCTTTTAGACAGAAATTCCAGAAATGCACCCGCTGGGGCAGGCTGACTGCTGCTGGCCATTTATATACCACAAGGTATATAGTCTGTGATCCAATGCCCACGGTTATACGATCTGCCATTGTCATGTCATATCAGCAATAAAAACATAGGCGCTTCAGGATCAAAGACCAATGAAGAAATAATTTCTTAAATCACACTTCCAGTTTCCTTGTTGAAGAACTGTGGCCTCTTTATGTGTCATATAATAATAATCCTTGCATTCGATATTGTGCCTTATCATTCTTCGAGACATCTCAAAGCGCTTTACAGAATATACTGTGAAGTGAATTGACTGTATAATTTAGCCTACGATAGCCTACGAACATGAAGTCACTTTCAATATTCTGCAGCAGAGTCCTTTTTACAAAGAATGACATTGAAGTTACGATGTAATCATAGCCCTTGTAGACATTGATTTTTTTTGAAAGGAACACAGTTTTGCATTTGTATCATGCAACAATATTTAACCAGACTGTTCCCCGAGCTTAGCAGAAATTCATTTTCTTTGGTGAAACAAATTTTCTTGGCGAAGTGTTTTCTAACCTGTTAGCAGTATGACGAGAAATATGTTTTGTAGATTGTTTTAATCATTAACATTCTCTCCCGAAGATACCGACTCAAACTATAGTGAGGATCCACAGGCAACGGTTGTCCTCTGTTACATTGTCTTAGTGACTGATGTCAATTGTCACCCACCTCCCCACCCCCCACTCCCATTTGACTGCAGGAGTCATCATGCCAGCTGCACCCACTGCTGCCCTCATCTGACATCCACATACCAGAGGCTTCACAACACGATTTCTAGTTACAGCCATCAGCAGTGAGAACGCTGTCTAACTTCTTCCCTCACTACCCCAAGAGCACTGGAACCAACTATATAGTACTCAGCCCCACAACTGAAACCTGACTTTCCCAGTCTGTATAGTTCATTTTGACACTAAACCACGGCAGAGCTCGAAAACACTGATCTACTGTATGTGCTAACAAAAATATAACAGAGAAAAAAAAATTTCCATGCAGTTTGTAAGATAAATGAAAAAAAACCTACATTTTAAAGCACCTAATGGGGTTTAACAGGTAACAATTTCTACCTGAATTTCTTAATAATGAATCTGAGTAGCGATTCCTCTGATAGCCTTCTATATGTCACAAACATTTGTCATTGCACGTCACATAATGTACCTCTTTTGACACTTTTGGTCATCTTTCCTCTTGCCACTCCCTTCAGCTCGCACCCCCAACTCGGGTGCCCATGCAGCATTACAAATGCTTTGGGACGTGCTCCTGATATGAAAGGCACGATATATATATCTATATATGTACATGTAAACCGTGCTGTATATTGTCTTGTAATATCATACTGACCCACAGCAACTCAGCTCCAAAGTTCATTGTGGTGGATTGGTCAGCTGATGTATTGCCAGCCTCTTTATTAAGGAAACCCATCAGAAATCAACAACAACAACTTGTATTATAAATGCTGTGTATTTAAGCAGTTCGAGACATCCTTCTGACGTGAAAGGCGCTATGTAAATTGTATTGCATTGTACTAGATTACTGTATATATTTTATTGATGACCATGACCTATATTAATCGTTGTGATGTTCATCACAGTATTCAATTTATTACCTTTTCTTACTGTACAATTCCAACAATGGTTAATTTCACCCTGAAAATATTTTTGAAAGGACAGAGAAAAAGAAACGCTTTTTGAGGCGTTTAATGTCCAATGATACATACTAAATAAACATAAATATCCATGATCCATAGTAAGTTAGCTGCATGCATCTTGCACAGAACCTAAGTAAATAAAATGCTTTGGTCAATTTTCAATTTCACACGTATGTGTGTGTGTGTGGGGGGGGGGGCATTATATCATTCAGATTGGACCATTTTAGCATATGCGGACTCAACAGATGGGGATGTCATTTACCGAGATGGAAATTTTCTTATCCTTCTATTATATAAATGACAATCAAATCCAAAGAACCTTCTTCCCCTACACCGATTCAAGACTACATGGAAGGCAGTTCTGAAGCATTATGTCATCTGGTTTGAAAGCTGAATGAGTGAGCACATTATGTTCAAATTATAACGGCTAGAAAACAATTACTTTTTCTAATAACAGATTTCCCTGTATTCAGACTGACAGCAGTGTTGCGCCCATATCACCTCTGAGTGGGGAATTGTATCGTAAGAAAGGGTAATTTTTCTGGTATTACATCAACGCTTGCATTTTCCACTAACAATGTAAGTGGCAAAGAGTTAAAGATTGTACACTAAAAACAGCAATGAAGTCAGGTAGGGATTGAACTAGTCCAGTACTCTGTAACATTCAACTACAGTACTTTTTGCTGTTTGTAGAACACTATTGGCACAAATTAGCAGACATGTTTGCCTCCAGAACAACATTCACTTCATTTCTAATTAATCTCACTCTGTAAAGTGCTTGAAGACTTTTTTTAAAAAAGCCAAAGACACCATATAAGGTTACATTGTTGTTATGCCACCGGTCAGTCCTGAGTCACAGAGCAAACAGTTTTTTTTTAATATCACTACAGACTTAGGCCACTGAGCCTATTTTTTTGTATGTCAGAATTTATAATAGATAGCATGTTAAACTGAGCTGCTTGGAAGTTACATAAAGTTTATAACACTGCACGGTAAAAATGTGGAAAGCAGATAGCACAAATGCATTTTCTTCCACACAATCAGAAAGACATGATGAATTACACACAATTACATAGAGTGAAACATCACGGAAACTAGTCCTAAAGGGTAAAAAAAAAGACTTTAAATGAAACTATTGCTCGCTTCTAGTTACCCTGGAAACAGCCTACTCTCTCGTATCCATAGTGTTTTTTTTCCAATTGCCTAACAGTAAGAACAAGAAATGAAATACAATATTGCTTTGTTGTCACCTAAATCTTACCATAACTATATGATACTTTGCAGTAATATTTAGGCTCATAAAGTGTGTGATTGACTCTGTCATTTGTATCACATGGCCTAAATTGTTTGTTCAAGTAACTGGAAGCCCTATTGTCTATGTTTCACTTCATAAAGACCAGTTCCTGGTAAGAATCCTTCTGATATAATCTTAGGTTAAGCCCTTTTAAATCACCTGACCCTGTCTGTCAGGATAGCAGTGGAAATCATGGCTAATTTTGGAAGTGGAAATAGAAAAGAGACTGAATGAAACTCTTATCGCTTAATTATAGTTAAGCTGAAAATAGCCACCAGCACTTCAAACAATCCAGCAAACCCCAGCGTCATATTGGAATGTCAGCCTGGACTACATGGGCTCAAAATCCCGACGTGGGGCTTGAATTTACAAACTTTTGACTTAGAGGCTTCCAAGTTTGTCAGGCGGACACACAAGGGAAGGTACAAAAACTCGAACAAGTAGAAGTGACGTGTTGTCTTGAACCACAATGTAAAGTGCACTCTGGAGGAGCTGCTGCTTCAAATGAACAGCTCCCTCGTGTGGAGTGAAATTGAACTAAGAGCCACTGACTGGAAATAAATGTGCTGGGATTCAAATGTCTCTCTGACAAACCCATCTTCAAAGTACATTTCAGTTTAACGTGAATTGCAGTCAAATATAGAAACACAACCCCTGGCAAGAGCTGGTTACTTAGCGGGTTTGTTTGCAATCTCATGAATTGTTCATTGAGATGGAAAGTTGGTGTTTATAGCAATATATGTATTCAAGTACCACTGAGTTTCCAGGCTCCTTGTTTATGATCAGATCTGGGGATGATCAGCACAGGACATTTTTGAAGTTTGCTTAGAATTTAATGAAGAATCAAGATACTAAAGTGGTTATGGGTTAGGGACATGTGCACTCAGGCACGTACAGCTCCCACATATTTGAATTTACAAGCATCTAAGATCTCATGCAGGACTACTGATGATTAACGTAAAATTGAATTGAGAGCAAAACAAAATTATGTTCCAATCAAAATGAGCAACTCCTGCTGGCCAGCAGAACATTCCTCTTTTCCTCATCTATCCCTTTGCTTCGGTGGTACTTCATCACCACCACTTCTGAAGAGCAATTCTGTTCAAATCAACTTCAACCTCAGGAATGCTTCTTCCACAAAAATAATAATCCTTGCATTTAATATAGCGCCTTATCACATTTTCGCAACGTCTCACAGCGCTTCACAGAATATACTGTAAAGTGAATTGACTGTGGGCGAAACGCGGCAGCCAATTGTGCACAGCAGTGTCCCACAAACAGTCGTGGATTGAGTGACCAATTTATTATCTTTTTTTGAAGGAATTATTACCCTTAGTAAAGCGATCCACCAATCGACTAACAAGCAGGTTCCTACTTACTGCTAGGTAAACAGAGGCGTGTGGAGTAAGGAAACTTGTCCAATGTTTCGCCCTGCCGGGAATCGAACCCAGGACTCCACTGTAGGCAATTAACTCAAAAACATGTAGTAATGTATCTGAACCATATACAGGTACACTTGTTGGTTGATCTATCATGGTATATCATTTATTTCAATAATCCTAGCATTTGATAAGGTGCCCTTCATGCCAGGAGGACGTCTCGCAGGATTTACTTTAAAGTTTTATCGGAACAAGCAGAAGCCAATTTGGGCACAGCTGATGACCTACAAACTCCCATGAAGTAAGTGACCAATATTATTCAGGGAATTGTTGGCCAGGACACCGGAAAAAACTCTTTTCTCTTTTCGAATCGTGTCATAGGATCTTTAACGTCCACCTAAACTGGCAGGATCTCATTTTGATGTCTTATCAGAAAGACAGCACCTCCATTAATGCAGAAAACCTCCATTTTTGTTGGTTACACATTTGTATTGGTGGGGAGAATCCAAATTAATATCAGCAGTATGCTTTTTGCAGTATTATAGGGTAAGTGCATTTCCACCGGTTAACTTCCAGCTGTTATTCTCTTCTATATGGCACGGATCAGAAAATGGATTCGAAAAAACTACTTTACTGATATGGATGCCATTTGCTGATCGGAGACTGAACAGAGGACCTGAGAGGAGACACAGCAGTCCATTTGTGATAAAGCAGCTTTATTTCTGGTGTTATTCATGTTAGAATCACAGGAGCATGACAATCAATCAGAATCTATTCAAGTATGGACAGACAATATCAATACAAAGTTATGGGGCAGCAATTATATCTCTTGCTGTTTGACACAGTCCCAAGGCCATTTCAGTTGGAAAAAAATCAATATTATTTAGCGTCACAGCACTGTAAGGACACTTTCCTAAGGTTAAAAAAACACATTTAATCCGGAGAGCAAAAAACACAAATACATTTTTGCTCAAGAACCTCGGTTTCTTAGAAAAACTCACAAGTGTTTTGTCCGAGTCCGTTGCTATCTGTAGACAAGGGCTGCATACTGAGCATGTGGGGGAGTTCTCTTTGCACTATGTGATGAAAATTACAATGTTTCTTAATAGACTCAATGTGAGATCAGAATGAATCTGTTTAGAAATATTGACCTTTTATTTTATGACTAAAGATTGACAGCAGCTATCCCGCTCTCCCCCCCAACCCCGACTGTGGCACAGTTGTTGCGCTCAAAGATGATTTGCGGATTTTGACATCGTGAATGACACGATATCGCCTTAACTCAAATTACAACACAGGGGGCAGCCATTCTCTGATGCCATTTCTGGTTCCCCCACTGGTGCCAATTATTCTAGTTCCCATTCTCCGTTCCCCGTACCCTTTAATATTTTTATTCAAGTGTTTATCCCATTCCCTTTAGAAATATTATCATGGATTGGCACCAACAGCCATTTGTGCTGAGGCATTCTGTAATCTAATAACCCTCTGAGTAAAACAAATTCTTAATCCTTAATTTAAGCCATTCACGTGCCATGCAGAGCCGAGTGGGGGCCGATTTATGGGGAATTTTACAGGGATTGTATCAGAGGCTGGCAACGACCTCCCTCCCCTCCATGCTGTCTCAATGGTGAAGTTCAAGATGCTCACATTTTTATAACATGCCCCGTTATAATAAAATGGAAGTGTGATTTTATGAACACCCGCATTAAAACCGTGTCCGACTGTAATTGTCTCAGTTCTGCCAACACAGAGCATACTCCTGTCGTACCAAACCTACAATGAAAAGCGTGGGCTGACAATAATATTACCAAATTAACCTTAATACCTGAGGTGCACAGTAGTCAGTTGGGAATATGTATCACTGACAGACTGAGAACGGCCCTCTGTGAGTTTTGTTTCCACATAAACACTGCTTATAGTTTAAGGATTACAATACATTTCTTTCATTCTGACAGGTCGTTAGATTAAGTAGCAGCTTTCTTCTGTTCTTTCATGCTTGGTGAGATGACGTGTTACTTACTGTAGTTCTCAGCTTTCTGCTTAGCGGAACAAGATCAATACAGCTTCATGGAGGACTCAAACAAAGCTGCCAGTTCTTCCTCAGTCTGAGGCCGAGGAGACAGTTTTGTCACTCGCTCCTGAAACAAGGCAATTTTGTAGCGTTAACTACTATACCACAACAACAGCTTATATAGCGCCTTCCATGCAAGGTAGTGTCTCAGAGCGCTTAACAATGGCGAAGCCTGACTCCGAGTGGTGGGGGGTGGGGTGGTCGTAAACACGGTCGAAGAGGGAGGTTTTCAGGCGAGATTTGAAAAAGGGGAGAGAGGGGGCAAGATGGAGGGATTGAGGGAGAGTGTTCCAGAGTTTTAGGACATAGCGGCCGAAAGCACAACCTCCGATGGTGGAGTGGAGGGTGCAAGGGATGAGCAGGAGGCCAGTGCCAGTTGAGCGGATGCGCTGGATGGTGGATTGGGGAGTGAGGAAGTAGGGAAGTGTCAGTATGAGGGTGGCAGAGTTCTGAATGTGCTGGATCTTTTGAATAGCAGATCTTTTGAATCTATACAATATTAATATGTAACGGGGCACAGGGGAGGAATATAAAGGATTGCATTTAAATTACACTTTTAGTGCACTGGTAATACTTAATAATCTTTGCAACTGAAATAGCACCTTTCATGTTGGGAGGATGCCTCAAACCGATTTGCAGGATTTACTGTAAAGTGTTGTGACTGTGGATTTGTAAGCAAATGTGGCAACCAATTTGCGCAAGGCAATAAACAATCAACCTATGCAAATAAGTCAGTACACCACAGTAAAATCCTGTGGAACACTTTGACAAGTGTCAACGATGGGATAAGGTGCTACATCAATTCCAAGGATTATTGTTATGAAGTGAATAATCAATATTTATTTATCTTTACTTGGCCCTCCACAGGTCTGATTTCTCTCGCCATTATATTGCTGGTGAGCAGAGCAGCCAGGAACTGTGGAGAACCACCTTCCAAATCAAAACTCTTTTTGAGGTTTTTAGGTTACTAGGTTTCAAGGCATGAACCTACCTGAGGCAGAGTACCTCTGACCAATGCTGGAATATCTTCTTTAGTGTAACCGACTGCAGTCAGCCCATCATCAACATTTAGGTCATACATGAACTTTCGCAGTACGTCTGCCAGAACCAGACCTGCATCCTGGCGTTTTGCATTCCGTACGTCAGCTCCTGCAAGAGAGACCGAGCTCTGTCTGCCATCCCAGGTAGGTAAGCCGGGTTCCTAATACAGCGCAATGCATTCCACTAATTGAACATGCGTATGTATCTGTCTTACCAAGTATCTCAGCTGCTTCCAAGTGGCGTTCAGGGCACGCAGGGCCTGTAAAGGCAAATACTGCAGGTGATGTCAACACCACAGACAGGCCATGGGGCTGCAAGAAGAGCAGAGCAAAAAGTCCATCACCTGAGGCAATATTTGCAGCAAAACGCTTGGGAGACAATGAGACAAGGTTGCGTTTAGATAACGAGACACTGGTGGCTTGAGGGCGTGAGTCAGCTGTAGAAAGTTCCTATTGCAGTCATTTACATTTAAGGAAGTGACTGTACCAGTTAGTCAGCTTCATCTGAAGCTCAAAGGATAACCTAGTAATATATCTATGTTATATTTAGTTTACGATATAGATATATCACTAGGTTGAACTTTTTTTTAAACATAAAGATCAATTAACACTGAACATCAACACAAAGAATGAACATATGCAAAATTTTCTATTGGTTCGGCAAGTGTCTGGCACATATGGATGCCCATCACCATGCTCAAGAATGTCCAAACCAGACTGAGTTCATACATATGTATATCACCTGCACTGTCTCTGTATGGAATCTCTCTCCTGGAGGAATGCATCCTGATTACCTAATTCCAGACAGTAAGAGTCAGGCTAGCACAGCAAATACAATACATACATACATACCACCAAAGGATGATCCACATTGTAATCTTTGGCCCTGAATGTCTTCACCATTCCGGCGATTGGGTAGGACATTCCGTGGCTAAGAAAAATATACAATGTTTGAAGTTACTGCTGCTATTTCTGAGCAACTCAATGGTAAACAAAACTTTGGGTGCAAATTAACAACAACAACAAGATTCCATTTATAGAGCGCCTTTCACGTCGGGAGGACGTCCCAAGGCGCTGTACAGTTGGGTCAGGACCCGAGCAAGGGGGAAATGGTCAGGGTGAGAGGAGGGAAGGGAGGGAGCGAGGAGGGGGTAGTGAGTCGAGAGGGGAGCTGAAGGCACGGTCAAAGAGAAAGGTCTTGAGAACGGCGTTGAAGGAGGAAAGGGAGGAAGCAAGGCGAAGGCACTGGGGAATGGAGTTCCAGAGCCTAGGGGCTGAGAGGCTAAAGGCCCGGCCACCGATGGTAGGGCGGTTGGGGCGGGGGATTTGGAGCAGACCGGAGCCAGAGGAACGGAGGGTACGGGCAGGTACATGGGGGGATAGTAGGTCGGAGAGAGCAAGGCCGTGAATGGCCTTGTAGGTGAGGGTGAGAATCTTGAATTCGATCCTCTGGGGGATGGGGAGCCAGGGGAGGCGAGCGAGGGTGGGAGTGATGTGGTCACGAAGCCTGGTGCGGGACAGTACACGGGCTGCAGAGTTCTGAATGACCTGCAGCTTGTGGAGGGAAGTGCCGGGAAGGCCGGCGAGGAGAGAGTTCCCATAGTCCAGCCTTGAGGTGATAAAAGCGTGGACCAGAGTTTCAGCAGCGTGAGGGGTGAGGTAGTGCCGTAGTCTCGCGACATTCCGGAGGTGATGGAAGGCGGTGCCAGTTGTGGCGCGGATATGAGGGAGAAAGGACAGCTCAGGGTCGAACAGAACCCCGAGGTTCCTGACCGGCTTTGAGAGGTGGAGAGTGCAGCCTTGGATGCTGATGTTGTCAGCGCCTGAGGTGCGGAGGCGCTGACGTGAGCCAATCAGGAGGGCCTCAGTTTTGCGCACGTTGAGCTGAAGAAAGTTATCTCTCGTCCAGGACTCGATGTCGGACAGGCAGGCTGTCAGGACATCGGGGGTCGTGGAGTTGAGGGTAGAGGAGGAAAGGTAGAGTTGGGTGTCATCCGCATACATGTGGAAGTTAACTCCATGTCTGCGGATGATGTCACCAAGGGGGAGCATATAGAGGGTGAAGAGGAGGGGACCGAGGACAGAGCCTTGAGGGACACCGCACGAGACAGTGTGGGGGCCGGAGGAAAAACCATTTGTGGAGACAAAGTGAAGACGGTGGGAGAGGTACGACCTAAACCACTCAAGGACAGGGCCTTGAAGGTTTAGGTGGGAGGACAAGCGGTGGAGGAGGATAGCATGGTCGACCGTATCGAATGCTGCCGATAGGTCAAGGAGGACGAGGAGGCAGAGGGAGCCCTGGTCACAGATGGTCAGGATGTCATTGGTGACCTTGACCAGGGCAGTTTCTGTGCTATGGGCAGCACGGAAACCCGATTGAAGGGGTTCGAATAGTGAATGGTTGGAGGAAAGAGCGCAGCTGGGAGGCGACAACTCGTTCCAGGACTTTGGATAGGAAGGGGAGGTTGGAGATGGGCCGGTAGCTTGATAGCTGCGACGCATCAAGGGAGGGTTTCTTTAAGGTGGGAGTGATGGTGCCAGTTTTTAAGGGAATGGGAATAGAGCCAGAGGAGAGGGACAGGTTGACGATGTCTGTGATATGTGGGGCAAGGAGGTGGAGCTGGGAGATAAGGAGTGGAGTGGGGATGGGGTCAAGGGAGCAGGTGGTAGGTTTCAGGGAGAGGATGAGTTTGGTGACAGAAGGTGGGGAAACGGGTACGAAGGTGTGTAGGGGAGGATGGGTAGGAGTCGGAGTGTGGGAGGGAAGGGGTGGGTGGTGGGTGGATGTTGGAGGGGAAGTGACCGCGGAGCGGATTCCCTTGATCTTGGATTCAAGGAAATCCAGCATCTCCTCGCAGTGAAGGTTGGAGGAGATGACCTGCGCGGGGTAGCGGGGGGGACAGAGGAGTTGGGATGTGGTAGAGAACAGTAGCCTGGGGTTGTCCTTCGCCTCCAGGATTAGGCGAAGGACTAAGGAGGACGATTTGGCCGAGGCTAGAGTGGAGCGGTAGATTTTGAGGAGGTCCAGCCAGATTTGTCGGTGGACCGTTAGGCCAGATTTGACCCAGGTGCGTTCAGCGGCCCGCACCTGGCTCTTCAGTGAGCGGAGGTGGGTGGTGAACCAGGGGGAGGAGCGAGAGTAGGAGACAGTATGGGAGGTGATAGGGGCAAGAGTGTCAAGTGTGGAGGAGAGGGTGTTTTGGAGGAGGGTGAGAGCAGAAGAGGGGTCGGTGAGGGTTGAAGGCCAGAGGGAGAGGAGTTCAGAGGACTCCAAGGCAGCGGTTAGGGATTGAGGGGGTAACTTCTTCCAGGGGCGGTAGAAGATGGTGGTGGGTCTGGTGGAGGTGGGGAGGGGGGTGGAGGTGGTGAAGGAGATGAAGTGGTGGTCGGAGATGGCCTTATCGGTGATGGTGACATCTGAGACACTGAGGCCCCGGGTGATCACCAAGTCGAGTGGGTGGCCGTGACTTTGAGTGGGGGAGTTGATGTGGAGGAAGAGGTTGAGTGAGGAGAGCAGGGAAGAGAAATCTGAGGAGATGGAGCAGGAGGGGGTGAAGTGCAGATTAAAGTCGCCCAGGATGATGAGGCGATCAGACGACTCTGTGTGACATTATAAGTCCAATACCATGTTCTGCACAGCTACTCAAACCACAATAATAGCACAGTAAAATGGGGGATGAAACTTTAAAAATGGAAGGTAATTGTGTGAAGTGTTATTAGCACCAACAGGTATTATTTTCAGAGAATCACTCTGGTGATAAATAACCATGGCCCAGTTTACTCTGCACTGCTTGGATCATTTACAGTGGAAAGTGCAGTATAAATCTTGCCTGTGCATCACTTTACGTGAATCACATTGGAGCCTAGCTGTCCAAGCACAATATGAGGAGGTGGGTTGGGCAGCACATTCATTTGGGGGCTCCTATTCAATATAGGTTCGCTCTAAGTTCTTGACTGGTCCATTGGACACTCAGGGTTCCTACTACCTATCACAGTGATCTAACTGTTGTCTGTAGACTGCAACTCCCCATTTTATCTTATGATGTATGTGAAGTTCAATACCAAAGCCTGAAGAAAGTAAAAGTACCAGAGATGAACACCAGCATTTCCAAAGCCAATTCCAGCAAAGACGCTTGCAAGATGCATATTGTACCTCGCCTCATAGTCCTCAGGAGATCTGACAGCGCTGCAAAGTATTAAAGGGGAGATAAGAGTTTAAGAGAGTACTGTACAGATGGAGCCACCCCAATGAGGTGAATGGTCTTCTTGTGTTCCTAAAAATAACTATCCCCCTTCAGGTATCCTGTGCTGGAAAGGGTTAACATTGCATTTGGAAACAATCTCCCATTACTTGCAAAATAAATCCCTATCAATTGTGGTTATAATAATCTTGCAGTCTGGACCTTTTGTGTAGGACACAATACTATGTGCCAGCAGTACCTGTCTGAAATAATGTCACATCTACTGCACTTTCCAATAAAACGCTTGCATCTTGCAGTAGTTATTAAACTACAAGAACTAATTGCATTTGATCCTGCTCTTGTCCCACAGCTCCTTCTGCTGGGATGTTTTGGCTCATACACTTCTCCAAGAATGTTGCAGATATTGTTCTGTCATCACATTCAACCCCCCCTGAGATTCATTGCCTTCTCTCCCTCTCCTCCCCTTTATAATCAAGCTGGGAACGTATGAATGTAATTTGATTGAGATTGGCTTCATTTCCACATCCTCCAAGCCATTTACACATCTTGCAAGCAAATCGTGGAGTGTAACCTACTGGTGAGGTGGGGGTAAGTTTGTGCTGGCAAGAGAAACAGAATGATCTAAACTAAACACTGTGAAACAGAATGATCTAAACTTTCCTTCAGATTAACTCAATCTTGTAGCATTTGATTATAATATTCTAAACATTGCGATCTATTAAGTGTCATGTGCACAGTTGTGTATTATGGCATGGTTAAATTAAGGACTGAATACGCGTAAAGAGGAAATTACAGATCCCCTTAACTGTATAACCAACAGGCTATGAAATAGATTAAATGTCAATTACAATATTAAATGGACCTGCAATCTCCTCCATACTTGTGCATTTACATATTGTTCCTAACAGTTGTGTTTATAATGGCACATACTAAACCCGATTATCTTTATTTATAAGTAGGATATACACATAAATATTAAGTGTTAACTCGGAAGTCGATCTTTCACAATTATTTTTAAAAATTATAGAAAATTAGCTTCTGAACTGAGACTCAATTTAATAATAATATGCATACTAATCTTAAATGTTAAGTCTTCAACCTAATAATGCATCTTTTTTCCCTGGAAAACATTTGCCTTTTCATTTGAAAGAAAATGGCATTTTAAAAAAAAATCAGCAGACTTCAATTGACTCATCCTTATAGGTGGAATCCAGTGCTTTCTGAGCCCTTGGCTTAATTGCTTTGCCCACAAAATATACAGTCAGTTCAACTTGACAGTATATTCTGTGAAGCGCCTTGAGACATCTAAGTGATAAGATGCTATATCAAAGCAGGGATTATTATTAGTCATACCGTTTCATGTACTTGGCCACAATGGTGAGGGCGTGCTTGGACCAGACATCACTGATAGGGTTACTCCCCTGGTAAGCAGGACGATTGATTGGGTTTGAGGGACAGGGTGACCGTTGGTTGTAAGGCAGGGCTGTGTAGGACTCCAATGCATGGCTGCAGAACAAAGAAACACAGTCAGGGTCCGCAAGCATTCACTCTGCACTGTTTAAACACAATATATTTAAATCAGTTATTCTCCCAGTTTTGTGCATCTTGAGTTCAAGTGCTAAAAGGAATACACTTAACGGAGGGAGATCTTCAACTAATGGTGACCGATTTCCACAGTATAGCTATCAGGTAATGTTAGAAACTTGGAGCACTTTGAAGTTATTTTATGGTAGAGTTTTATGGTTTTATGGTATCTATCCTGTCTAGATCGTGGAAATCAAATGCAACAACAATTTTAAATTTATACATGGCCTTTCACCTCAAGGGATGTCTCAAAGTGTTTCAAATAGCCAACTGGGAGCCCGAACTGGGGGTGGAAGGGATAAGAAAGGGTGACCAAAAGCACAATAGTAAAAGGTCTTAAGACGGGCTTTATAGGTGGGGAGGCAGGGGCGAGGCTGAGGGACACCAGGATGGCAAGGGCAGAATGGCTCAAAGCTCACATTCCAATAATCAGGGGTGGGTTAAGTGGGAGACAACAACTCGTCATGGGACTCTCCTGAACAGAAATACACCACTTGATATATACCACATGTACCATATATCATGAAGCTTTCCATCAAATCCCTCGGTTTTTTTTAAAAAAAGAGTGCAACATAGCTTATGACTGGAGTAACTGAGACTTTTCCTGCTCATGAGACTTCTTCTGCTGGAACAAGAGGTCTTTAAAATTATGAGGGGTTTTGATAAGAGTCAGTAGGGAATAATTATTCCCACTGGTCAGTGAGTCAGTAACTCGAAGGAATCAATTTGAGGTAGTTGGTAGATGAGCAAATGGGGGAAGGTTAGGAGAATTTGTTCCACACAGAGTAGTTGGATATGGAATGCACTGCTAGGACTTCAAGAGGGAAATATACAGATACCTTAAAAATAATCAGCTACGGGGTAAGGAGAAACAGCAGGTAAATGGGACTAGAAGGTTTGCTATCGAGGTTGATGGCACAGACATAATGGGCCAAATGGCCTTCTTCAGTACCGTAAATTTCAATGGTTCTAAGAGTTAAAGGTTTAATTGTTCCAACTTGTCCTGTTCAAAGCATCGAAAAAAAAACAGTTATTCTGGTTTAATGTAACAATAGTTGTTTTGGAGTAATTACAAACACTGGGAAATTCCTAATGATGATGGGATTTCCTGTTATCCTGTTATAAAGGGGTATCTTATTTTTTCTGTGACAAACTGATATGACAACCAAGACATACTGTATTTACCTCATCAAAATTATTTAAACTAATAAAGATACTTTACTAACCAAAGTACATCAAAGCCACTGTTTGCAGCTACTCTCTCCGGCATGTGTAGTGTGTGAAGAGGATCGACTAACCCAAGGAGTGGTCTCAGAACTCTGCTGGCAATACCTAAGGTGCAACATTCAACTGAGTTACTAACAGACACACTGTAACAGAACCCGGTGCTTTTCCCTGCAATATATTTAATAAAACATCCTGCACCAATGTCAACCTTTTCTCTTTCCCACGCGAGTTACTCATAAAACCATTTCCTGCAGTTCTCTCTCTGAGTGGAACTGGCAGTCAATAACAGCAAGATTACATTTATATCAAGTCTTTTACGCTTGAAGGACGTCCCAGGGTGCTGAGGGTTAAGCCAAGTTAAGGGTTTGCTCCCAGGCAGGGGTTGGAATCAAGAGGGTAGGGGAAGTGCGAGGGTGGATGAAAGCACGATCAAAGAGGAAAGTCGAGATGGGTTTTGAAGACGACAAGGGAAGAGGCAAGGCAGAGGGAGTCCGGAATGGAATTCCAGAGGGTGGAGGCAGAAAAAACTGTATTGGACAACTGTGGCAATGTTTAAGGGTATGTTGAAAGGATATATAGTGTGGGTAATTGGATTGTGAGGAGATATATTCAATTACTTAAAATAAATAATCCTTGATCTAATGATGTTCACTTTGGGAGACTGATTCAAAGCGCTTCAAAGGATTTACTGTAAAGAGTCGTGACTTTGTTAATTGCAATGTACCGAACGCTACACTGTATTCTGTACGTGATTCTGGACTTAAAATTAGAAAGCGGTTATACTCTGCGTATTTGGATAATGAAAGAGGTATATGCTGTGCTCATGGATTATGAAGGGTTATGTATTTTATTCTTGTGTGTATTAGTAAGTAAGTTGAAAAGCAGCAGGAGGAGAGATTAATTTCATTATTCCACACTGGGTTAAAAGGTGAAGGACAGTCAGTGAACTGACCCCGAGGCATTTTGTCCTTTGTTGAATGTTATCTAAAAACAAGCTGCGTACTTTAATGTAGGAAGTGTTACATTAACACAATTTGCATTGTCATACACTCATTACTTGTTCATACCTGTTTTAATCTTCATGGCTTCATAATCAAACACTGCAACTCCTGTGGTTTCACTTCCAGTACCTGCTGTAGTGGGAACTGATTAAAAAAAACACAGAGCCTGTGGTTAGTAAAGTGCTCAACTCCCAACTGGTTTGACATGCGTTTTAAAAATACAACCACCCAACAACCGGCATAGCTAAAGCAAAATCCTCCAATTTAGACAATTATTGAGAGGAAAACTAGTTGAAGAAAAAGTCAGACAGATTGCACACCAAGATGAAAACCTATATGCAGAAAATATTTCTGCTCAGAATGGGTTTCAAAAAGCCTAACGGCACAGACTACAATTTGAACCTGCGGCTTTTCAGTTTTCAGCACCCAGCTCAGTGGAGTGCAGAACCAGGGAAGCTATAGATAAAAGTATGGTAGACTCTACCATTTGAGATTTGAAATCTACACAAAAATTGGATGGAATTGGGAAGGAAAATAAACTGCAAGAGAAAGACTGACGTAATAATTGACACAACGTTTCAAACAACTGAGGAAAGGTGCAACAATCCCTGCATATTAATGATTTATTTACAACATAACTGGTAACTTAAAACACATCCACAAATATTTACCAACTGCAATAACATTGCTCTTGAGTGTTTGAGTCCCACTATCCAACATCCAAGTTAGAAATATGTTACTTCAGACGTTAATGTTTAACAACCATGATGTAGATAAATGACAATATTAGGAAGGTCAGACTCTAAACAGTACTGCGGGAAATTATTTTGTCCGTTTGCAGATTACACACGTGATTGACTGTCTGAGGAGCTTTGAGAGAATCTTTAGTGGAGATGCAATTCATAGATTAGCACATCAACCGCAATGCAACTAGACAAACGGCACACACACCCGTTGCTCCTACCTTTAACCCTCAGCTCCACTGGCTCCACACCCCACAGTAAATTGAATTCAAGGTCCTCCTCATTGCATTTAAATCCCTCTGCAGCCTCAGCCCACCCTCCCTCTACAATCTCCTGCCATCCTACTATCCTGGCCGCTCCCTCCACTCAGGTACTAGTCTACTCATGTCCACTGCCCGACCTGCTCCACCATGGGTAGGTGATCACTATCTTGTTTCATCAAAGGTGTCTATCGGATCCCACTCTCATGTATTCCTAATAACTCAACGCCTTCCAAACATAAGATTTCTTAAAGGTGCAAATAGCATTTGCAGACTGAAATTACATCTCTCTTGTTACACAGAGTTATTACTGTCTTAATGAAACTGATAACATTCATGAAATCTCTTCTGTGTGAACCCACCTGCAATCAAAGGACGGAGACTAACTGTGACAGGTTTGCCTTTTCCAATTGGTGCATTGACGTAATCTAAAAACTCAGCATCGGTACTGCACGCGTAGAGATTAGCCACTTTGCACGTGTCCATCACAGATCCACCTCCCACAGCAACGTATGCATCGAAATTTTCTTGCTTAGCAAATGCTATGGCTTCCTTGAAGCTAACAACAAAATTTTGTGTTAAAACAAAAATAGAAGCGGAATGGTTATAAATTAACTAACAAATAAAAAGAATGGCTCAGAGAAATGTGTGGGGACAGACTGGCCATAGCTTGACGTTACATGCTTCCAGTTTACTTATTAACGAATCCTATTTTGTTCCACTGGGTCTGGCCTCCTCCTCGTCCCCCAAGTCCTCTGCTCCACCCTCGGCGGCCGTGCCTTCAGCCACTATGCCCTGATGCTCTGGAACTCCCTTCGCCTCAACCCCTCTCTTCCTGTTTTCAGGTCTCTGCTGAAGACCTGTCTTTTCGACCGCACCTTTGGTCACCTTCTCCCCACCCCTCCCCCTGGCTCGGCCCCGGGATCCATTACTGTGAAGCACTCTAAAATGCCGTCCGGCGTGGAGGGCGCTATATAAATCCAAGTTGGTATTAGACATTACCATATATTGTTCTGGTGTTTAAGATTATGATAATAATTCTTGCATTTGATACAGTGTCTGTAATGTTGAACCATCTTAAAGTGCTTCACAGGTAAACTCTGTGAAATATAATGATTGTAACTGTAGGTGAATACGGCATGCAATTTACACACAATACATCTATGAAGTGAATGATCAAGGTATCTGGAGGTTATAGCCAGGATACTCGGAGGAATCTCCGCTCTTTTCAAATACTGTCATAGAATATAACCATTCACCTGAATAGGTAGACGGGATCTCAGTTTAACATTTCAACTGAAGGGCAGCACCTCTGCCAATGTAGCTACACTGGATTGTGAACATAACGTCCCGATAGAGGGCTTGAACCCATAACCTGCAGACTCACTTTACGAGTGTTAACAACTGAGCCTACACTCACGCCTCTGAGACAGAGGCTTGTGGGTTCAAGGACCACGTCAGGATTTTGAGCAATCCTGCTGCATATTTTCCAAACATTTGTGCCATGAATTGTTGCAAGTTACCAGAATCAGACTGTGAAACCCCTTGTGATCAAATAACCTTCAGTCGTGGAGCCCTGTAGCTCAGTGGTTTGAGCACTCGCCTCGCAAGCGAGAGACCTGGGTTTGGTTCCCGGCAGGGCGAAACGTTGGGCAAGTTTCCTTACTCCACACGCTTCTGTTTACCAAGCCGTAAGTAGGAACCTGGTTGTTAGTCGATTGGCGGATCACTTTTCCGGGGGTAATAATTCCTTAAAAAAAAAGGTCACTCAATCGAAACGTTGGGCAAGTTTCCTTACTCCACACACTTCTGTTTACCAAGCCGTAAGTAGGAACCTGGTTGTTAGTCGATTGGCGGATCACTTTTCCGGGGGTAATAATTCCTTAAAAAAAAAAGGTCACTCAATCCACTGCTGTGCGCAATTGGCTGCCATGTTTCGCCTACAAAATATACAGTCAATCACTTTATCGTATATTCTGTGAAGAGCTTCGAGACATCTTGAGGACGTGATAAGGCGCTATATCAAATGCAAGGATTATCATTCACTGCGTGGGCTTGTACATTGGAATTTGCTATTGAGTGAGGTACTGGAGGGCTGCTAGTGTCTATGATATTGTACCCAACAGGAATCAGAGGCTTCAGACGAGTAGGGTTGCAAACCCACGACTGTCCAGTGCCTTGGGACATCCTCTCGACATGAAAGATGCTATATAAATGCAATTTATTGTTGTTGTAAGATGGAGGATAAAAAGAAAAGTACCCTCAAGCCACTGGCATTGTATTTTGTTTTGACGTTTCAGAAGATTGCCTTGTTCACTCCACTACACCCTCAAATGGTCACTTCCCTTATACATTCCCCAGTTATACCAACAGACACAATGAGGTCAACAAAAAATTCTCAACTTAATTTCTTTAGGATTGGTGAGCAGCTCTCATGAGCTCTGCTCCAGTAATTTTTACCGAGTGGAGAATGGCATTAGAGCAAATGGTAGTTTTCTAATAACATATGAAAATTCTTTATAAATTCTTCAGGTTGCTGCCACTAAACTACCAGTGTCCAAAGATCCCCGCCATCATTTAGGCATCTTCCCTTTCATATTCTCTCAGGTCTAGAGGTACCTTCCATCCGTTGGCTCCACCCTGACCTTGTCAAATACTTGAAACTTCACTCCATTGTGCACCAGTGAATTCAACACAGCCCTCAAAGGAGGAAGTGTGGCCATATTCTTGTCTGTCATCACGCAAACATTCCGAGCCCCCAGGTTTTGAAGGTCCTACAGCAAAAGCAGAAGCTGTAATATTGATTTATATTGAGAAAGTCAACAACAACAAGAACATGCATTACATAGCGCCCTTTACACGAGGTAGTGTCTCGGAGCGCTTAACAGTGGCATAGTTTGATGCCAAGCCAGGGGGAGTTGAACATGGGCACGATGTGGAAAACCTTCAGGCGCGATCTGAAGATGGGCAAAGAGGGGGCCAGAAGCAGAGATTGAGGCATACAGTTGCAGAGAATCAAGTATACTGGCTGAAAGCATGGCTGCTGATGGCGGAACGGAGGGGTAGAGGGATGTGCAGAAGGCCTAAGACGTCTGAGTTTAGAGGAAGAAATAATCACCAAATATTGCTTCTAAAACCCAAGTTTATGGAATCCCTAAGTCTCCGGTCTCTTTGATCGACCCTCTCGCAGAAGAACCCACTCTCCATTTGGTGATTGTAATGGCAGCCTGAAAAGTGCAGAGACTCTTGGGCTGGTTTGTGGCACATGTATCAGTGCTTTACAACATGGCATCTTTGAGTGCACAAGCCTTATCAAATACGTAAATTTATTAGATGAGACTAAATTTTTTAAAAAAAGTTAGGGACTCCACAAAACTCTTACCATACCAACTTCCTTGGTCACCCCTTCTCCATATCGGATATTTGAACAAGCTATCTATAATGGAAACATCATACAGAGAGATAAGTCTGCATTTCTAACAGAACTAAAAAATAAAAATCCCAAACTGCAATACTTTCTCTCCTCTCTCCCATCTGCCCAGCAAACACATCAATGTTTTCATTGGATATGTCGTCTTGATCAAATGTTTTTAAATTGTGATTTGTTACATTTAATTTGTAAATTACAAATTTAGTCTCTAAAGTGATTGCTTTTTGTTTTACCTCAAACGCATAGTCTGTCGATCTGGACGTGGCATGTTCTGGTGCTGGAAAACATGAACGCCAACAGTGAGGACATATTCTGAGCATAGGAAAATACCAGGTTCTGAAGAAACAAGGTTAATGCTAAGTTTGGGTACTTGGGGTTGATCTGCAGCAGAACTCCTTCTATTGAGAGACCCGCAATGAAAATATAACATTCTGCGTTGGGACATCCATAGCCGAACATTTCTGAGGTGTTGGGACACTTCTTCCACTATCTGTGACTGCGCAGTTGAAGAGATAGGTATTAAGATGAGACGTAAAGGCAGTTGGGAGTGGGGGGGGGGGGGGGGAGGGGTGGGAGTGCACGGAGGGGTAGAGGGAGGGAGTCCTGTAGCTCAGTGGTTAGAGCACTCGCTTTGCAAGCGAGAGACCTGAGTTCAATTCCAGGCAGAGGGCGAAACCTTGGGCAAGTTTCCTTACTCCACACGCCTAATAATAATCCCTCCAAAAAAACCAAAAACAATAAGAAATTGGTCATTTTCAATCTACGACTGTTTGTGGGACATTGCTGTGCGCAATTGGCTGCCGCGTTCGCCCACAAATATACAGTCAATTCACTTTACAGTGTGTTCTGTGAAGCGCTTTGGGACGTCCTCCCGACGTGAAAAGCGCTATATCAAATGCAAGGATTATTATTATTATTATTATTATTAGGCGTGTAGAATTTGTAAGCTCAGCCACCTTGGAAGGAACAGGGATGCGCAGCAAGTTCGAGTTATCCAAGCACATGGGGTGTGTAGAGAGGTGGGATCAAAAATCACAGAGATAGTGAGGAGTTAAAGAGCATGAAAGGATTTAGATGTGAGGGTGACGATCTTGAAATTGATCTGCTGGGAGACAGTGGAACCTGGCAAGCACTGAGGTGATGGGCATGCAGAGTGTGGTGCAGGCTGCAGAGTTTCAGATATGTAATAATAACGGATGGTGAATCTAGGTCAGAGAGGAGATCAGAGAGGAGGGCATTTGAAAGTCCAGCCGGGAGGTAAGGGTTTTGGCAGCATTTGGTGTATGATATGGCTGGAGGTGGGCAATGTGGTGAAGGTAAAGAAAAACAGTCTTGGTCAGTCTTTATCTTTTTGTTCACCCTCAAAACACAGTCACTGCACTTTAGAGTATATCCTATGAAGTGCTTTGGAACAATCTCCCGACATGAAAGGCACTATACCAAATAAACAGATTATTATTATTACTCACTGATAAAAGGCTTCTAACAATCACTGCCAGATACTTTATCAAGAAGATGGTGTTCCTTTAAAAGAACTTGCAACTCTTTTTAAGCGGAAATGCCTATTTCTGCAGTAGAATCCTGCTGCTGCTGTGTCTTTTTATTATCTACTTTGAAATTTTAATTGGAATTAAGTATCGTTTACCACCAAACCAATGTTTTTACTGTCATAGAGTCCGAGAACGTTACAGCACAGAAACAGGCCAGTTGGCCCTCAAAGCTGCTTTGGTGTATTTCTCCATAAGGGGTACTAATCAAGCGCCACTTTACTGCTTGCTTCCCATCTTCTTTGATTTTCCGCTTTTCAAGTTTTATCTAAGTTTGTTTCAAAGAAATTTGTGATGAAACAAAGGTTTATGGCAGAGAATCACACATTCCAACCAGAACGTGTTTTCTAGAGAAGAAGTACGTTACCTTGTGAGTAAGCATGAGAGTGAGCAGGGCACCGACATCTAGTCACACAAGAGAGGAAATAGAGGTATTGAAATCACATCTGATTTCCAAAGCATTCAGCATAAAAATCACATTAAAATCCCGAGAACACTCAGATAAAGCAGAAAATGATCCATTTAAAATAAAACAGATAAGATGAATAATGTTACAATTACATTAACCTCTGGGTAAAGCAAAAGAAACAAATCCTGGTTTCTACCTGAAATTGCCCTCAACAACTCTAAAACTGTGTCCTCTTGTTCCACTGTTTCACTGTTTTGGTGCGTCCTAAATTATGGTTCTGGGTTTACTTTTTCAATCCCATTAAAAATGTTATACATCTCTATAAGGTGTTCGCTGAGATACCTTCTCTCAAGACTGAAGGGCCCTAGTTTATCTAAATTCTTCTTCTTCATTCTTCTATCCTCATTGCAGTCCTCTACTCTGCCTCTAGGGCTTGGGCAACCCCCTTATTTGCAGGGGTGGGGGGGAATAGTGGCCAAAGATGCCGGAGTAATCTCCGGGTTCCTTTGCCGTGACCATCGTCACCATCGACGACAACATCTTCGAGGTGAAATCAACTGCCAGGGATTCCCGCTCGGCCCAGGTTAAAGCAAAGTCATCCCAAATAACCAGTAGTACAAGAAGACGGAATGGATGGTTTACAAATTGGCTCATCACACACACACACTGAGTTAGACCAACTCAAGGATGGGACAGTCTAGATCTAGACATTGATCCAAGCTTACCACCGATGGAAACTTTTTGCGTGGTGGTGGTGGTGGTGGTGGTGGTGGTGGTGGGTGGTGGTGGGGGTGGTGGTGGGGGTGGTGGTGGGTGGAATAACTTCTGCTCCCCCAACGTTTTAATTGAGGGGAGAATTAGCCCCCATTGCCTTCCCACCCCCCAGTTCCACAACTAATGGCCTGACCAGAATAGTATGTACACTATATGGGTTGGGTATGAAGTCTGAAGATCTGAACTCAACTGATTTGGGAATGTTGCCCAGTATCCAGTTTGCTGCAAGTTGCAACATCCAATGTTGCAACTTACAGCAAACCACAGTCAGCAGCTTTGGTGGAAGAGGGGAAAGGAATGAACTGCTTCAACTTAACCTTCGCTGCCCGATTTTGCTGCCCTCACCCTTTGCCTGTCCCAGTGAACAGGGCTGAGCTCAGTGTGTGAACGAACGGCAAGAGCCCAGTGCAGGCAGCAGAGGACAAGGGAAGGCACAGATCCTGGAAGTATCTCGCAGCACTTGACTGATTCGGATTGGGAGGGGGGGGAACAGAGGAGAAGCAAATCACCTAACCCCCCCACCCCTTGTAGACCCTCTCTGTGGTTGCACCTTTGCAGGGCACCAGTGCCCGGCTCCTGGATCATGCAGAAAAGCAACAAGAGAACAAGCAACAACGCTCAGTCCCGGCACCAGTTGTCAGCTCAGCTCTCGCATTTCTACTAACACTGAACTGGTGAGTTGCAACTGCTAAACCGGCAGCTCTCTGCGGCTTCGAGCAACACTCAGAGCGAATAAAGGGGGCATTTCAATCTGTGTTTGTCCCCCCCCACCAACAAAAAAACTAATCACTTACGATGCCTGTTGGAGCTGCTTCAGCAAGTGGACCACTCTCTCCCGACCAGCCATGACTTCCAAGGCACAGGAGCACTGTGGGAATAAGGGAGGAGCTGACAGGCAACTCCAGCACAGAGTGACAGGCAACTGCAGACAGGCAACTCAACCCAAAGTGACAGGTAACTCAGCACAGAGTGACAGGCAACTCCCACAGGCTCCAACCAAGGATAATAATCCGTGCATTATTGATATAGCACCTTATCACGTCTTCAAGACGTCTCAAAGGCTCCACAGAATATACCGTGAAGTGAATTGACTGTATATTTTGTATAAAACTCTACACAGTTACTAGTTTAGAGTAAAATCCTGTGAAGCACTTGAGAAGTTTTGATGAGCTGCTGTATCAAATGCAAGGATTATTTATTAGTCACAGTTGTGCAGCACTTAAAAGCATTGTAAACCCCCAGCCTCAATGTGGACATGCAGATGAGTGGAGATTACTATTTACCCCAACATAACTCTTCCCAACCTTGAAGCCCTCTATCAGGAAGGTTGCTCCTTAAACCAAATGAGACGGCCACCCGATGTGTGAAAGGTGCTACACAAGTGCTCTGGAACTGTATTGTATTGAGCTCTAGTGAAAAAAAACTCACGTGGAGGTATGTTCCAACAAACACCGACATTCTTCCAGTCACTTTCCCAAGTGGCCGTTCTTCATCGTGTTCGAATATATAGACTTGAGTGCTGATAAGCTATTGAGTGTGAGTGATATTGTAGCCATATGCAATGCATTCCTTCACTCAAGATTTGTACATACATTTTCCAACAGGATTGTCTAGAAGAGGTACTATTCCCCACCCTAGCCCAAAGTATCTAAGGTTGACTACAATAGCACATAACTATTTTTCCCCTCGGGCATTTTGAAGTCCCTGCTTATTACCTTACAAACAACATGGTTGGCGCAATCAACCCCCTCACCCCCCATTGTTTTGTGAAAACTCATAGGTTCAAATCCACAACCTGGAATAAATGTTTGGTGAGTGAAGCAATCATTAATATTACAATAATAGAGTAGGAGGTAAGCTGTTAAAAGTAGTTTTATTTGAACATTACAAATCTCACTTGTATTTTTTTTAAAAAAAGCCTTTTAACTTAAGAGAAATATATTTTCTGTTAAATCAAAACAAGTAATTTTGCTGAAACCTTGAAAACAATTCTGAACCATCTCTGTTCTGGTTTGTTTTGGAGGTGGGGGATAACCTTAAGAAAATAAATCAATTAGAAAATGCAAATTGATGGGGAAAATCAGATGCGACCAGATCAATATGTTGCCATTATTATATGGCAAAATAGAAAAGCTGGGAATGGTTAGCATGCTTGCATCAGTTCTCAGCCTGGCAGCTCTCTAGCCTCTGGGTCAGAAGGTTGTGGGTTCAAACCCCACATCAGGAGTTTGAACTCAAGTGTATCCAGGCTAACACTCCAATGCAATAAAGGGGGTTTCTCTCAGTGTCCTGGACAACAATCCTCCAGATAAAACTGTTTATTCGCTTCAAGACTGTCTGTGGGACACTGTTGTGTGCAAATTGCCTGCTGGGTTTGCCATTGTGTTACCTTATTGAAGCGCTTCCCTTTTCTGAGGTCCAGTAACTGTTCAGTCAATGCAACAACAAAATTACATTTGTATAGCACCTTTTGCATCAGGAGGACATCCCAAGATGCTGGACAATCTGTTTCGGACCCTAGCTGGAGTGCAGGATTGGGGAGGGTGGAGGGCAGGGGTGGAGGGTGATCGAAGGCACAGTCAAAGAGGAGGGTCTTGAGACAGGTCTTGAAGGAGGCAAAGGAAAGGGCGAGGTGAAGGGACTGCGGGATGGAGTTCCAGAGGGTGGGGGGCAGAGTGCCTGAAGGCCCGTCAACCAATTGTGGGGCAGATTAGGCGTCCGGAGCCTGCTGAGCTCAAAGAGCGGGCAGGTTGGTTGGAGGTTAGAAGGTCATAGAGGTAAGGGGGAGCAAGGCCATGGAGGGCTTTGAAGGTAAGGACCAGGATCTTGAAGTGTATCCTCTATGTGATGGGAAGCCAGTGGAGTCGGGTGAGGATGGGGCAATAGGGTCAGAGAACCTGGTGCAGCAGAAGACATGTGCTGCAGAGTTTGGATGATCTGCAGCCAATGAAGGGAGGGGTTGGGGAGGCTGACAAGCAAGGAGTTTGCATAGTCAAGCCTGGATGTTATGAATGCGTGTATGAGGGTCTCAACAGCCTGCAGTGTGAAACAGTGGTGGAGCTGGGCGATGTTGCGGAGGTGAGGGAAGGCAGAGTGGGGCATGGCACAGATATGGGGTAGAAAGTATAGTTGAGGGTCAAACAAACCCAAGGTTCCAGACTAGCTCAGTGAGTGCAAAATGCAGCATCCAATATGCACATAGCGCATCCTTTCAGTTAATGTATTTTCCCTCTTAAAAACGGCTACAGTATTTCCTCTTCTCCCTCTTCCCACCAACAAAAAAATACCTTCAGAAACTACCACGTAAAAAGCTCTCAAGGAGCTATAATTGATCCTGTCCAGAATTATGACTTAATTTAAAAGGTAGGCAAAAAACATGTGGCTCGCTTTGGTGTCAGCCACCAGTAAGCAAGTCTCAAACTTATAACAATACTGAATAAAATTTGTTTTTATAAAATAAAGCCGCTATTTTCGTACAAATCCAGAAGTTTAATTGTAGTTACTGCAGGTCATTTCCTCAAACATTGGACAATCCGTCAAACTCCCAATAAAAAAAATACAGGTTCGGTTTACCAACTTAAGTGTTTGTGAAAAGGTTCTCGCGTTTTGGGGGGGGAAAAATAGTTTCCCCCTTTTGAAACGAGATAAATATATATTGACACAGTCACATTCGCTTGACCGGTCTGAAAGACGAGGATGGGTGGAAGACATGGTTCTCTATAACTGCCCACGGCACCAACAGTCGATCCACTTTACAGTATATCCTGTGAGGCGCTTTGAGACGTCTCGACGACGTGATAAGGCGGTGTATCGAATGCAAGGATTATTATTATCATCATCATCATCATCATCGGTTTTATTTGCCCTTTCCTCGTTGCGTCACGGCCGGCTTTCGACCGGCGTTCGGTTTGCCCCCGGCTTTCGGTTTGCCCCCTCCCCACCCGTCGCGGCCCCGGCCCCGACCCCCTTTCCCCTTCTTCTTCTTCCTCTTCTCCGCGGCCTCCTGTCGCTCGTCCTCGCGGAGCTGCTTGTTGACGGCCTTGGTCAGGTTCAGCCTGGGTTTCTGGCCGGACTTGGCCATGCTCTGGAGGAGCTCCAGCTGCTTCTGCTTCTCGGCTGAGAAGTCGCCCAGGAGAGGTCTGAACTGCCTCCTCTTGCCTGAGCCCCGGGGGTTGTCCCTCTCCTTGGGCAGCTTGTCCTGGAACCTGCCGACCGAGGCCGTGGACAGTTTGGCCGTCAGGATGGCTCTGCTCAGCTCCCTCTTCCCCGGGTGCTGGACCGGGCCGCCGGCGGCCGCACCGGCCTCGCGTAACGTGCGGCCCCGGGCGATGTTCCGCAGCCGGTGCAGCTCGTTCTTGGCCACCCGCTCCTTCTTCTGTCCGGCCCGCTTGGCGAACTGGTCCTCGTTGGGGTCGGCGTTGTCCGGCACCTCCAAGGCCCAGTCCTCGGCCTGGTCGTTCGCCTTGCGGTAGCCCCAGCGCCGCCGCCACTCCCGGCGCCTCTCGTCCCAGGCCAGGCTGGCGCGCTTCTTCTTGCGGATGCCCTTGAGCCGCGCGAACTCCTCCCAGCGGGTGCTGGGCCTGGCCTTGGGCTTCGGCTTCTCCCGGGGCAGGCGGGTGGTGGCCGGGGGCAGCTCGGCCACGATCACCTCCCCCACCCGGCGGGTCGGCACGGCCCAGAGTTGGCCGATCAGCAGCTGCGTGTTGTCCCGGGCCAGAGCCCGCAGCATGGCCTCGCCCTCCAGCTGCAGCCGGCGGCCGCTGGCCGGGTTGGGGTCCAGGGCCAGCAGGTTCCCCAGGTCGAACTGCAGCTCCTGCTCCTTGTCCACGCTGATGCTCTTCAGCCGGAGCGCCGCCTCCTGCTCGGCCCGGGCCAGGAGCTCCTCCACCGCCGCCGCCGCCGCCATCTTCGCAACGAGCCAACGGCCGACAACACGTGCAGCCGAGAGGGGAGAGGGGAGGGGAGGGGAAGAGGGAGGGCCGCCGCGCCTTTCCTGCCCACGTTTTTCCTCTCTCTGTTGCTCCCTGTTACTCTGAGCTACACACCACAGCCCCCCATCACCATCACCACACCCCCCCCACCCCCCCCATCACACACAAAAAAAAATTTTGTTCACAAAATACACAGTCACTCCACTTCACTCGCCCCCACCGTTGGCGGGCGAGCCTTCTGCCCCCCCCCACCCTCCGGCACTCCGTCTCGCAGACCCTCCGCCTCGCATCCCCCCCCCACCCCCACTCTCCGTCGAGACCCGTCTCGAGACCCTCCTCTTCGATTGTGCTTTCGATCGCCCTCCTTCCCCCCCCCCCCCGACCCTCTCCCTCGGACTCCACCCTCCCCGATCCCTCGGGTCCGAATCCCTTGACCGTCCAGCACCTTGGGACATCCTCCCGACGTGAAAGGCGCTCTACAAATGTCATTTCGTCGTCGTTGTTGTTGTTTACAGTATATCCTGTGAAGCGCTTTGAGGCACCTCGACGACGACAACAACTTGCATTTATATACCGTTGCTCACACGGGGTAGCGTCCCAGAGGGCTTGAATCGACCACGTGAATTGAATCGACAGCTTATATCGAAATGCAAGGATGGTTATTAGAATTATTATTATAAATATGAGCCCAGCCCCAAAAAGAAACCCAATATCATGCATTGCCTCCCTACGGGTAGCAGCAGAGTGAGTGGCCAACTTAGATCTGCTTATTGAAACCAAGAAAAGGTCTTCAAAGATAAAACTTACAAGCAACACGATTTGCAGGTTTAAACCCCCCAAAAATTAAAATCAGACACCTGTCCAAAGCCGTTTTTTTTCCACGCGCATTATAACAAAAACACACATTATAATTTTAAAAATGGCCGTGAACCCCTATCTGCCTGTCTGTCACAAGCGATCTTCAATGCAAATAACTGCTGAAGACTTCCCCCCCACCCCCACCACCGACCCCTCCTCCCAAACAGAGTGATTTAACTTTGGCTTGCAAAAACATTTTTTTAATAAATATTAAATAAAGTATTAAATAACAGTGATAGTCCTTGCATTTGATAAAGCGCCCTATCCTCTGTGTGTGTGTGTGTGTGTGTATGTTGGGGGTGTAAATGGGGTCTCCTTGGAGCTGAACTGGCTCCCAAGATGGCATGTTTACCTATGGAACGTCATTTGGTAGTCTCAGTTGTCTAGTTTCTGAGCGGGTTGAGGGGTGGGGTCCACAGTGCACTTAAACCCTGGCCTCTGGCTGGACTAATGGGTGGGGGAGGGGGGGAGATCCAGAATTTCCGTCTAAGTGTAATTACAACTGATAGCATGAGCATTTATCGCCACTATCATTTTTGAATCCCACGAGCAGAAGATAGCAAATAAGCTATTTTCCTCTCATGGGATTTAAACAATCTGAGTCAAAGTTTGTTATCTGTTATATCAGAAGTAAACATGCTTGAAAATAATCTTTGCCATTTGCAGACAGGCAGTCCATGGCATGTCAATGGAACTTCACCATTCCCTACATCCTTTCTATCGAGGGCAGCTTTTAGGAATTGATCATTTATACGGTCTGCACCCAGTGACCCACATGGATAAAGAACAGTGTCCATTTTCTGCAGGTGGACTGTGACTCTTTCGGTCTGCTGAACACATTTAACTGTTTTTATCCATTTCTATCCAGATGGGGCCCTGCTGTGGGTTTGCAGGTCAGCCACCAACCCATGATAGTGTTCTCTCCAGAGATACGAGTGAAAATAGGCAAGAGACGAGAGAAGACTGACAGCAGCAGTTTGAGTCCTGAAATGTGTGGCAACCTGTAGCTCGCAATATTTGAAGAGAAGCTCCAATGAAATAACAGTGCTAGTATTGTTCCAAAGTCCACATCCTCTTTGTAAATGAGGTTTACATGGACTAGATAATAGCAAAGATATAAATAATAATAATAATCCTTAAATTAAATAGCAGATTAATAGCAGATGGTAGCCTTCTGTTACCTCATCCAGAGCCCACAATGTGTAGCCTGGTTTATAACTGTGGGAAAAAGCAAGAATTTAAAAAATGCTACAATAAACAAATCAGTCGACCAGATTGTGTTGTATCTAATAATGCAGTTGCACTTTGCCAACAAGTGGTGGCATCAAATCCATGTAATTCAGGATCCTGCCTACAATCACAAGCAAAAACATCAACCTCCGAGATTTTCAAACCATTTTCACTCAAACATAAAAACAGTGATAGATTCAGAACCATTTAGTTGCTGATCTGGTCAATGATCAATGAAAGAAAAATCTTTCTGGATTGAAGACTGCAAGTATAAGTAAATGGAAAATGAATGGTAATAATGACTCTAGCTTTCGACATAGCACCTAATTACGTTGTTGAAATGCTTCTCATGATTTACTCTAGAATGTAGTGACTGTATTTGTTAGAAAAAGCAGCAGTTAATTTGCGCATAGAAATGTTGCATAAATAGCCACAAATTGAATGACTGATTTATATCTGAAGGATTGTTGGTTAGGACATTAGGAGAGATTCTTTTCTATTTTTGAAAAGTTTAATGGAATCATTAAAGTTTACCTGAACAAACAGACCTGCTTGGTTTAGCAGCTCATTTGAGGGACTTGTATCTCTGACAATTCAGCACTCCCTCTCCCCAATTCTACTTAAATGTCAGTGTAGACCAAGGCTGGCCAACTTGCGGCCCGGGCAAATGCATAGAATAGTCATATGCGTCCCATAGATCCCAAGTTGGCCATCCCTGATTTAGACCATGAGCTCAATATGTCCTTTGGATGAAATGTTAAGCTCAGGTGGATGTTAAAGATCCCATGGCACTATTTGAAGAGTGAATGCTATACATGATTGTATGATTATTGAGGGTTCCCAGTATGTTGAAATTTATATTCTCGTTCATTCTAATTGTTTTCATTAAAAAGCCTACATGCTGAAGTTAGAAAGGTTGAAAGATAAGCAAAACGCATCGAAGATACAGCAGATGGCAGTGTTTGATACAGGTAACAGCTGTCCTTCCTAATTCAAGGCTGATTAGAAAAAAGACAAGTTTAACGTATATGGTAGTGATCCTTTCCTGACGTAGACAAGTTACATCAGTTACTATTTTAATAATTCTCATTTTTATTATGTAAAATGGTGGTCTATTGTTTTGGCTGCTGAGGGCTAGATCCGTATTTGAGAAACGTTAGTGGGCAGCATAAGCAATATTTTGGTGTTTCCAGAAACATAACATTTGTGGAATGTGGATTGTACAATTCACTCTTTCATTTAATTTGACCTATACAGATGGATGCAAGTAACACCCATATAGACCATACTGTTTTCTCTCATCCTCTCAGTATTTTTGTTCACACTGCTTCTGGTCTGTATCTCACTCTCTCTTGGTCCGCTCTCTCTTTGGTTTGTTCTTTTCTGTAATGTTCCTATTGTTGCACATTGTACCAATTCCCTTTCTCTGTCTTGCTCAGACTTCATCGTTTTCGAACTTCCCTGTCAATGACTGACTCAGAATCCTCCAGATTGCTACAATTTCCTCTTAGAATGTGTTTTGCACACTGTTTAAATTGCCCCAACAGGCTTCAGTCACTGTGCATGTATCACAAACACATGTGCCTACATACTCCACCCCAACAGCTGTTAGGCTTCTGAAACAGCACACAGCAACATCACTGGCTGTTATTTCACACCCAGTTGCCTTGTGCTGCTGCAGAAAGCACACGTTTATGCCTGGTGATGATTATGTGTAACTTTCAAAGTCTTTCTTGAAATGAATAAAAGTGCTTAAAATTCCATCTTTGGACCCATCAAAGTGGTGATTAGAGACCATATCCTAAAACATGTATAAGCTACTTATGTAAGTGAAAGGTATATTTTGTTAAAAGCACCGAAACGCAATGATGAAAATGTTACAATGCAGAATATTGCCGAATAAAAAAGCCCTGTATAAATCTAAAGGCAACAATTAAGTATGCCTTTCAAGGTATAAGAATACATCTTTTACGTTGAATTAGTTGGATCTTAGTAAATGAGTACAGAATTATGTGCTTCTTCTGCCTGTATTAAAACACTGGAGTTGAAAATAGCAGATTTGTCCCTTGTGGGAATAAAATAATCAGTTGGAGCACAAACCATTGTCGTGGATAATAATCATTACATTTTATATAGCGCCTTTCACATCAGGAGGATATCTCAAAGAGCTTCACAGGATTTGCTGTGAAGGGTAGTGATTGTGTATTTTGTAGGTGAAATCAGTAAACAGAGCAATGTCCCACAAATAGCCATGAAATGAGTGAGCAATTTTATCCAGAAGATTGTTGGCCAGGACACCAGAAGAAACTCCCTTCACTTTTCAAATGGCGCAATTGGATCTTTAACCTATCTTTAATGTCCATCTGAACAGGTAACACTCCCCCAGCACTGCACTGGGTGTAATGTCAACCTAGATTATGAGTTGAAAGTCATGTGGGGCTTGAACCAACAATCTTCTGACTGAGATTAGAGTACTACGAATTGAGGTAAATTGGCACATAAAGGGATGATAATTTTCCTTGTTTCTGATTACTTCTTGATTCTTGAAAAATATATTAGAAATTAAAGGAATTTCATCACAATAATTGTAGTCAGTGGTCTGATGGTGTAGCACATGCCAAGTTTCTGCTTGTGGTTACAGAGGGAGGAAGAGTACAGCAGTAACGATCCCTTGACCTGCTCTCACTACTCTGTCAATTACAGAGTGAGGTGAGCTGACCAGGGAGAAGGTTACTTGTATGCTCTGCCATCTGATAAATGACTCATGAAACAACTCATGAAACACATGGATTAAAAAAAAGTCAAAAAAACTAAACAAAGTAAAAAGCAAAACTTATTTAAGTAGAAACTTGATGCATACTTGAGGGAGAAAGGAATAGAGGGATAGTTGAGAAGGGAAATAAAGGCATATGA